CTTCTCCCTCCTTGCCAGTCTGCCATGTCCAAGAACTGTGTGAAGCTCCTCTGTGAAGATCCAGTTTTTGCAGAATATATCAAATGTATTCTGATGGATGAAAGGACCTTTCTTAACAACAACATTGTCTACACCTTTCTGACACATTTTCTCCTCAAGGTATGTGGTCTTTTAGCAGTAATTATTACTCCAAGGAATGCAGGCACTGATGCTGCTTCCTTTTTTGACTGTTTTCACAGTTCCGATTTTTTGTAGCTTTAAAAAAAATACTTTGTTTCCACAGGTGCAAGGGCAGGTATTTTCTGAAGCAAACTGTGCCAACTTAATCAACACTCTAATTACAAACCTAATAAATCAGTATCAAAGCCTAGAATCTGACTTCAGCAACCAGAGAGTTGAAATTTCCAAAGCAAGCTCTACATTAAACGGGGTGAGTGTTTTCTAAGGAACACGAGGCAGCTCATTCCTACAGAAACTCCTCAGTGCCCTGTGCCAGGTGTTAGGCACTCCCTGCCTCAGCTGAGCTCCTGGAGGGACCATGGGAAGTTGAGAATATTAACCTGACCGTGGGGAGCAAAGTGTTAACAACTGCAGGAGCATTAATGGTAGGAGTGCTGTGACCCAGCAAGGTTTTGTGTCCCAGCACGGCATTGTCACCTCCAGGACAGATGTGTTCAGCTCAGCAGGTAGTGAGTGGGGAGTTTCAGTGGTGTGAGCAGCTCCAGAATGAGATCTTTGGGCTGCTCAGAACATGAACAGCATCTCCTTATTGCACAGTCTCTGTGTGCAAGACTCATCAAACACCAGTTTGAAATGAGCCTTAAGTTTGTTTCTCTATTTCCAGGACCTCCGAGCACTTGCCTTGCTGCTTTCGGTGCACACTCCCAAACAGCTCAACTCGGCCCTGATCCCAACTTTACAAGAGCTTTTAAACAAATGCAGAGCTTGTCAGCAACAGAGGAACTCGTTACAAGAGCAAGAAGCCAAAGAAAGAAAAACTAAAGGTTTGGTGTTGCACTAATGAACCTTTTATCAAATGAATGCAATAGGTTATTTTGTCCCTGCAGGGTGGGCCCTTCCCTGGCTCCAAACCCCAGTAGTACACAAAATTCTCATTTTATAATTGATCTAAAGTTTGTGAATTGCACAAACGAGTGTCCATTGCAGTGCTGTGTGTGTGAAGGCAGGGAGGGGATGTGAGCAGTGCCTGCTCTGAGCGCTGCCCTGTCCCCGCAGATGACGAGGGAGCCACCCCGGTGAAGCGGCGGCGCATGAGCAGCGACGAGGAGCACGCCGTGGACGTGGGCGACATCAAGGGCGAGCCCCGCGAGGCGCTGACCCCCAGCAGCGCCTCGGACAACGAGACCAGGGACTCGTCCATCATCGACCCGGGCACGGAGCAGGACCCGCCCTCGCCCGAGAACGGCTCCGTCAAGGAGTACAGGATGGACGCGCCCGCCGCCTTCCCCGAGGACGCCGCGGCCGCCGCGCGCGCCCAGCACGAGGAGCAGCCGGGCGTCGGGAAGTTTGAGGAGTGCAAAGAGTTCAAAGAGCTGCAGGCTTCCAAGGACTCCGTGGGGGCCGAGGAGGACTCGGAGTTCCCTTCCACGTCCATCTCGGCGGTTTTATCCGACCTCGCAGACTTGCGGAGCTGCGATGGCCAAGCCTTACCATCCCAGGACCCCGAAACGAATTTATCAATCAGTTGTGGCCATTCCAGAGGACTTTTTAGTCACATGCAGCAGCATGACATTTTAGACATCCTGTGCAGGACCATTGAGTCTACGATTCACGTGGTCACACGGATATCCGGGAAAGGAAACCAAGCTGCTTCTTGACATTAGATGGAGCATGTCTGCTTTTAAATCTTCTTTTTTTTTTTTTTTTAATCCTTCTTCCCCCAAAAAATGCTGTTTGTATAAGTTTTGCTTATTTCTGTTTTGTGCTTCAGTTTGTCCAGTGCTCTCTGCTTGAATGGCAAGATAGATTTACATGCTTAATTCTTGGTCAGGCAGAACTCAAGATTATTTTTTTTAAATTTTATTTTATTCTGCATCTACCGTACACTTTCTTAAAGGGCAATCAGATAATGGCTATGTTTTATGTAATTAAGAGTTCACTGTAGTGGCTTTCATTTAATATGGCTGTCTGGGAGACAGGGCCTCCTGGCCCTGTATGATGTAATTTAAACTTATGGCATTTTTACTGTGTATAATATGGTGTCCTCTGTGCCAGTTTTGTACCTTATAATCGAGGCAGATTGCCTCAGATCGCTGTGGTTCTTATTATCAAAATTAAGTTTACTTGTATACTAAACAACCACAAGAAATTTGATTCTGTAAAGAATCCTCTTTAGCTGTGGCCTGGCAGTATATATATGGTGCTTTATTTAACAGAATACCTGTGGAGGAAATAAAGCACACTTGATGTAAAATTAATTGTTTTATTTTTATTGACATGATCAATTGCTATTCTGTGCACTTCATTAAACTGATTGTGATGACTTTTCATTGGTTTATAATATGTTGCTTCAGTCTTTGGATTTCTCAGCAAAGAACTTCGTAAGTGACACAGAGCAGAGAGAAATGCTGGTCAGAGGTTCAGGTCTGATGTAGATTTTGGTGCTTGTTCAGTGTGCACAGTGTTCAGCTGCACAGTGGAGGGACTGGTGCTTGTGCTGGAGCCTGAAGTGCTGTCAAAAGCCAGGGGCACTTGGCATCTCATTTCCCTTAGTTTAACATCTCTTACACAATTTTTCTCCTGCACCATTTACAGACTTCCTTTCTTTTTTCCCCTCTGCTCTCTGGCTGTGCCCCTCACTTTCTGACAGCTTCTGCACCCCTGGAATGACTTTATCATCCCTCCCATTATACTCCCCCTGTTATTTCTGAGTAATACCAGTTTCCTATGTGACCTTTTGGACTGTCAATGCTACTGGTTCCAATTTCTGATTAAACTCCATTTTCAGCTTCATTTTCCAGTTGCTCAGCTCATTTGTTTTTCTATTGTCTTCATGTGCCTTGGTCTTTTTTTCCTCTAAATTCTTTCATTCCATCTACCCTTCACTGCAGTTTTGCATCTCCTGGAGTCTGTGATGCTCTTGCTCCCTTTGAATTTACTCTCATTGGTTTCAATGTTCTGTAAAGAATTTGTCTTCAAAGTTTGCAAATTTATATTCCTGTTTATTTAGCATTTTTATCCTGCATTTACAGCCACTGCTGACACTGGTAAGTGCTTAAGATTGTATCCTCATTATTCAGACATTAAATAACTACAGTTTTGTTCTCCTTAGGAGTAATTTTATTACTTTTTCTGATTAGCTTTTCCCAGATTGTTACTCCACAGAAATCATCAACAGCTCCTAGTCAAAACTTCTACCATCAGAATTTTTCTGTCAAGGAAAACATTGGCCTATGGATGAAAAGCTGAGCTGCAGCAGCTGTTGGAACCCCTTTGGGTGAGTAGTTTTTTAAATTAATCAGCCTCATTTATTAACACTGTGCTGTTGGGATGGTGTCTGAGCTGCTGCCCATTGCTTTATTTCATAAAGGATATACAAATACTGCACCATTAATCATGTCATGATTACCACAAATATGATTATTCATATTGCTCTTCCCTTACCTCCTGATTTCCCCCTTGAGTATTCTGCAATTTTTACAAAGAATTTTTTTTGCAGTACAGTTTTTTGAACAGAAGTCAGCAATACCTGCACAAAGGTATTTTCATTTTCCAGAGCCAGTTTCCAGGTGTTTGTCCTCTGTCTCCCTCACCTTCTGTGCTCTGTAAGTCATTATTTCTGCCATTCTATTCCACTTCTCTCACTTTAAATCAGTTTCCTGGTTTGTATTTTTCCACCTTTAAAAGTGTTCCCTTGTCCCACCTTTGAAAGCCCTTTAACCCTAAACCCTTTAATCTTCCACTGGCTTCCTCAGTCTCTTAAAAGCTTTGATTTTCTCCCAGGTTTTATCCCATTTCTCATTTATTATTACTTCTTTCCACCTCCCATTTAACCCCTTCAAAATTAAGCTTTTAAATCCCTTCTCCATGCACAGACAGCCTCTCCTATGGCACTTAAGGTGCTGAGATCTGTGAAGAATTTTGGCCATAATCTTACAAACCATGTCTTTCCCATTGTACTGGTTTTCTCTTTGCCTTTCTCAGAGAATTACCATCTAACATTTTTAACTGGGAAGTCCAGGAGAAATTTTAGCACCACTTTTGCAGGGGCATGGAGCTGCTCCTCGTTTTCCTGGGGTTTTGGCAGCCTCACACCTGGAGCAGGGACTGCAACACTGCAAGCACAAGTAAGTCCTGTCTCTTTTAACACCAGTGGCTGGCAGTTGCTCCATTCCAGTGAGGGCAGGGAGGCAGGAAAACCAGGGGATTTCAGCCACGAGGAAGCACAATTCCCAGAGAGTGCTGGGGCTGCAGTTTCACTGTTTGAAGGAATTTGGAACTGCACAGAACCACTGACTCAAGGATTAAATCCCTGCAGTATCTCTTCATACACCTGCTGAAGCCTGAACTGTCTTAGACCTTCATTTCCCTTTGTCAACCCCCACCCTGAATCATTTCTGCACTGAAAACATCAGGCTTTTCTTCCCTGAATACTGTGGGGGGGAAAAGGCAACTAAATTTGGAGCATTCAGGAACAGATGCTAGAACAGAACATTGCTCAGGAGGTTGCTCCCCACCCAGCACCTGGACACTTCAAGCAGCAGCAGGCAACAGCCATGAGTGCTCTGTGCCTCTCCTGTCACTGTGGGCACTTTGTCCTTTCCACTCAGTTCAGAGGGATTGTCAATAACTGACTGCAAACCTTTCAGGAGAACCTGGCCTCTAGCAGGCAGCAGCACCTCTGTCTCCTCAGGATGATGGAAGCTTTTTGGGTGGTAAGGCTGCCAGGTGTTGGCATTCTGTGAAAATAAAATATACAGGACTTGACTTCTAAGAAAACTTATTTAGTGTGGCAGTATCAGTTTATGGAGAAAATCAGCTTGATGTAAAGTCATTTTTATTGAGCCAAGCATGTTTTCCAAAAGCAGCCTGCCCTATTGTGGTCAAATTGTTTCAGATTGCATATTTCATTTGTACACTTTATTTATAAAGCATTTGAGAACTAAGTCATCCTTGCTCACCTCGAGGTGGTTTAATTAGGAATTACAATTTGTTCCTGTCAAAATTCTCTTTACAGTTGTACTCTTTGAGGTACAGCATTGCAGAGGGCTGTGAATCTGTTCAGTGGAAGGTTTTACAGAACTGCAGAAAGCAAGCACTACTACTGTTTGTTTCTTCCTAAATAAATGTCACACTGAGGTCAAGTAAGGGAGTACAGTGCATGCAGACCTAATAATTACATGACATTGTTAATTATCTTTCCTAACACTGCAGCTGCAAACAGTCTGCAGTTAAAAGCATCTAGAAGAATTCCACAAAGGCTGTAAATGCATCAGCAGTTTTGTAATCCCTTTCAGCTCACCTCTGCTGGGAACTCCGTCTCCTACAGGGATTTAATTTTGCCACTTGATACTGAATATTAAGGAACTGGAAATGCTTCCTATTGATGGTGTGGCTCACCTACCTCTGAGGGCAGGGCTCACTGCAACTGAATCATCATCACTCTGAAGTTCCAGGCAAGCAGACCAGAGATCACTGTCCCCAGGTAAAGCTGTTGATAGACACAGCCTGACTTGCCTCTCAGTCCCTAAAAACCCATAAATAGTGCTTAAACTATGTACAGTCTCATAGAAGTGGGTCTTTATTCTTCCCACAAATAAATTATATATATTTTTTTTTTAGAAAACCAAATGTTAACAAAGTATAAAAAGTAATGCCCTAACAAAACTACAGTGCTGTTATCACTCCATGTTGTCTTTTGATTGCTGCAGTAAAATATGTATTTCTTCAAAATATTGCTTCTTCCAACATTGTCTTGTACTCTCTTCATGGGAGACAGGAACCCCTTTGCATTCCAGCTCCAGTTCCGACTGAGCCGCCAGCTCCTGGAAGTTCAAGGCCACGGTTGCATAATGTTCTGAGGGGAGAGAACAGGACCCTTCAGTGAGCTGCTCTCTAAAGGAAGCCATCAGCTGCCGCTGCCTCCCTCTCTGCTCTGCCTGTCTGAGCCTCTTTTCACAAGGACAGGGACCAAGGGAATGTCCAGCCAAGGCTGGTCCCTGCCAGGATTGGTTCTTCTCCCTGCAAAGGAGCCCTGCAGTATCAGAGATCCTTGGAAAAACTCACCATCAGGCCAGCTCCTACACCGCCACTTCAGGACAATTCTTTGGCTTGGGACCTGTGGAAGATAAGTTCTCCTTGTTAGCACCTGAGAGAATTCCTATTTCAGTTCTCCCTGAAGTGGAGGGAGAGGAGCAGCATCTTAAGGAATACTGGACACATGCATGTAAACAAGAGCAAGATTGGGGTCTAGTTTTTGAAATAAAAAAATGTTTTCATGGAGCTCTCAGCGTGCTGCATTCCACTGTTCTGTTTTTGCTGTGGGAAAAGACCAGGACTCACTGATTACTGCACATAAAACACTGATTTTCTTGCAGACTGGGAAACAAGGACAAGCCCAGTTTTCCCCACTGAAATTTTAAAGTGTGACCAAGTGATTGTGTTACACAACCCAGCCTGGCCCAGTACACAAGTCGGGCACTCCTGCAGATGAAAATGGTTTTTAGGACATTTCAAAAATGCAGCTGAGCTCCAATTACCAGGTTTTTCCCTTCTATTTGCACCAGCATTCAGTTGGGACGGGGTAACACTTGCCCTGAATATAACAGAGAGCATTTCCCCAGTTAAAAAGGGACAGGGATTTGGCAGATAAACCTTAAACCTTTCTCCCTCCTCTCAGTTACAAAGGATTGTGCTGGGTTTTCTGCTCCCTGTGCAGGTCCTTGGCTATGGTCAGTCCCTGCTCTTTGGATGAGACAGAAAAACCACACAACAAACACCAACTATGGGACTGAAATACTCACTAGAGAAGCTGAAATTCACAAATTTATGCTGCTTTTTTTAGAAGCCACCCTCCCCTTCCTTTTTAAAGTAGAGCAGGAGCTTTTTACCAGTTCTGTGTATTCACCGCTGACACAGCCCTCAAACATCTGGAGTTTGCCTCCTTTCTCTGCTTCAATCACAGCTGGGCACTTGGAGAACTTCTGTACCAACTAACAAAAAAGAAAAACACAAAAAAACCCATGCTGGGAGACAAGGGATGGGAGCTGCAGGAATTAACTGAACTCTTGATACATCTGGAAGTCTTTAAACACTCATCAGGCTTCTGATTTTCTACAGCATGGCTGGGGCCAGTGAGGTGCCACAGGGAGAATGATCATGCTGAGAAAGTTGCATGCACGTTGGTAAATACAGACCAGCACAGGCTCTGCCCCCAGCACATCCACACAACTGGCTGCTCCCAGACTGGGAAATGAGGGAAGTGGAGCAGCAGCTTTAGAAGGTGCAGAAGAGCTGCAAAGAGCCATTTCTGTTTCCCAGAGGTGGCCCTGGGGTTGTAATTTAAAAGTTCTCCAATACCAACCCAGACTTGTTTGAAGGACACAAAGCCAAAATTAGTGATTGTGTGTTTTATACCCCATAAGCAACAGTATTGTCACCTCCAGTAATTAATCTAATTAAGCTGTGGGTAGCAGCAGTGCCATTACTGAGCCCTTCAGGCTCCTCAACACCGACATCAAAGAGCAAAGCTTTTGTTAAGGACAGCACAAGGAAGCTGCACCCAAACACCCTAACAATGCAGCTTCACTTTGTTAAGGGAACAGCTGGCAAAAAAACTCCTAAGGCAGCCTAATAAACTCTCATCAAATGGAATTTGTACTTAACACTGTGAAGTGTTTATTTTTTACACAACTCTTCAGCAGCATCAACAGCCACATTCAGTTCAAATGCCTCCTGAAAGTATCACTTACTTCCTTCTTTGTGAAGATGCTGTAAAGTTCATCAGCTGGAGAGTTGAACACTTCCCTCATATGTATCCTCACTGTTGGAATTTTTACTCCAACCATATCCAGAGACTGTGGTGTAACAGAGTCCTGCAAAGCAAAAAAACATTCCCGGGAATTAGTGCAAGATCTTGACCCTTAAAAGTGCAGGCAGGGCGAGGGGGTTGTCACCTGCACCTTCTCTAACACAGAGCATGAACACCTGGCAGCTGCACACTGCATTTCTGCATTTCCCCAGCAGTACTGTCACTCAGGACTCACTGCAGTGGGAAAACCTGAAGCCAACAGACCTGCACAGTGCTCCCGCTTGGTTTCCGCTCCATGGCCAGCTCCTGCCCAACGGGAGCTTTAGTAGGCAGGATCATTCCCAAGGTGAACTCTGTAATGAAAAAGAGCAGTTTTCAGTGTGAAATTGAGCTGTTCAACCCCCCCCAGTCACATCCAGATTCTCAGTGAAGATCACCAGCTCCCTGGAGAATGGTGAAACTGGGCAGGACGTAAAACTCAATCCAGTTTTCCCAGCTGACTCTGAAGCTTCCATCAGGAACAGACTTAACAGCAATTTCCCTTCAAAAGGGAAGTTACCTGACCCCAAATCAGAAACACCTGCACAGACTTCTGGCAGCACAGCAGATGTTCAGATCAAAGAGAAATAACCCAAAGAAATTCTTCTAAGTGTGGCAGAAGGCTGGAGTGAAACTCAGTACAGAATGAGGCTCCTGCCCTTTGAGTTTCCAGAGTTAAAGAATCTTTGGATACCCTAAAAATCATACACAGTGATTTCTCAAGCCAAAAACTGGTGGATCCAACTTGGGAAAAGAGGTAATAATTTAACAAAGTATTTCACAATCAGAGATGTACCTGATAACAATTTGACTACAAGCTGTAAATGCATCAGTTTTTTGAGCATACTTTCCTGGTTCTTGGACACAGCTGTCATTCAAAAAAATACCAAGAGTTCAAAAATAGAAAGGAAAATTCAAATTTGGTTCACCTTTGGTTCAGAAGTGAAAATTTATAAATTTAGTAAGTTTAGGATAACAAAACCTTAGAATCTCAAATGATAATGGAAAAGTTTAAAGATGAGCAGAGAATGAATTTGTAGAGTAAAGAACAGAAATAAAGGCAGCATTTCAGAAATTCTAGAAAATAACTAATTTCATTAATAACTAAAACAAAGGGACACAAAAATAAGGCAGCAGTTCATGCAAGGAAGGCAGTTTTTTTTTTAATTAGACAGCAAAAAATCCTCATATTGGCCAGTCCAAGTAGGGCCAGTGTGACCCAGCACAGCAGAACCTTCTGGACACGGCCACCTTTAGAGCAAAAAAGATCCTGAGTGTCAGGACTAACTTAACCCAGCTCAGCTGGTGACAATTGAAGATCACAGCAGTACAAAGCCAGGGATTTGTCACTATCTGAGCAAGCTGTTCAGGAGAGGCACCTGCACAGGACACTGCCAGGGTGCTGATGAATTCACCTGGCTCAGTTTACCTGTTTTAAGTGCTTTCAGGTAATCCCTCAGGGCCTCTCTGACTTTGGTGGTTCCTTCAGTTCTCATCAGGTCCTTCAGAGCATCACCTTCCCCTTTCTTCTTGCTAACATTTATCTAGAAACAGAAAAATGACAGCATTTATGAGACCCCAGACATGAGCCTTTGGGATCTGGCAACAAAGGAAAGTTTGGGCTTTGTTTACTGTGCTCAGAGGACAGCTGCAATTTCAAATTAATGATCTTGGGGTAGCCCACCTTTGCTAAAAATAAGTCCTCTTAAGACATAAATAAATGTAGTATCTCCACACAGTCTGGTTCATCAAGCATAGCCAAGAGCTGCTTCTCAGCAGAGGCTGAAGGATCTGTGGAAGCCCAGTATCCACCATGATCCAGCCAAAATGGACACTCCCTAAGGGCTTAGGGCTGGGAGTGGTTTGGGGTTTTTTTTAAGACTACAAGCAGAGTTCTTCTCAAATTTGTAGTTAAAATATTATCACGATCAATAATTAGCAAAGCAAACTGCACATTCCTCATTGGTAAATCTGAGAACAGAATAAGGCATTATTCCAAGTATAATAAACAAAAGCATGAAATGAACTATCCACGCAGTAATTACCCCACTTAATAACAGGATAAATCAAAATATGATGCCTAGATGTTGATTAACTTTATTTAAGAACTGTGGACCTATACAGCCATGCCAGTGTTGCACACCTACCTCTGTATCATCTACCTCATTTTCTTCTGACAGGTTAGGAATTTCAACAGATCCCTTATGTTTCTCACCAGACTCTTTCACTGTACCTGTATTAACATAACGAATTCTTAAATGCATCATTAAAAACTATTTCCCCCGCAGCAAGAGTTTTTACACTTGGAACTCATTTGTACAAAGGTGTTACCTGAAGGGAGTTGCCTCAAGGCTGGTTTAGAGGAACTGAACAGCAACCTGAGCCTCTCCTGGGAGCTGTGTTCCCATCCAGGTGCACCAGGGGATGGACAGGGAGCCAGCTGCTCCTGCACTGCTGTCACCTGCAGTTGTCATCTGCTGTGACAGCCTTCACAGCCTGTGCATCTAAGGGTGGGCAGGGGAAAATCATCTCCTTGTCCCCTGAATGTCTCTGCTCTGGATGCAGAGGCTCCCTGGAATGCTGACCTTGCCCTTTTTAATGGTGTGAAAGCTCCCAACATGCAGGCACGTTGCTAGGAAATACAGATGTGTGTAATAGAGAAGGACACAATTGACATTTTTAAAAATAGGAACTCCAGGTGCACATTCAGAGCATTTGGTATTGCTGTTAACCACTGTACAATGACTGCACACTGCAGAAAGAGTCAGCAAGGACAGGAATTCTGCTCCACTTCTGATCCTTCGGGGCCAAGGCCCTCCCCACTGCTCTGCCTCAGATTCCACTGGAAAGACTGAAGTTAAGGTCTGAGGCTTTTTTATTGCACTGAAGACTCTTCCCCTTGGCCTTGCAAAAGTGCTTTGTTATTTAAATTATCTCACTAATTAGATGACGGTAAAATCTCTTCAGAAAGCAGCAACAGAAACAGGCAGCTCTGTCAGCCCAGTGTCAGAACATTAAAAATCTAACCAGGTGCTTCATCAGCAAAACTGCAATTCCAACAGCCCAGGGCTGAGCACCACTGCACAATTATCAGGGAGACAGATGCAGAATTTCTGGGGATTCTCACTTTCACAGGAGCCACCTGGGTTCCCCTGCTCCTGACCATCACTCTCATTATTTTAATTACTTCCCTGAGCCCCCATGACAGAACCCAACTGGTCCAGATCCCAGAGAGGGACTCCAGCAAAAGCCCAGGTGCTTCCTGGCATGGAGGGGAGTGAAGAGCTGTTGTACCAAAGTGCAAAGATCCCTCCCCACTCGGGTCTGAGGCAATGAGGGATTGCACAACACACGAAGCTGTTAATCCACAACCACACAGGGACAGCAGAACTAGACCTCGAGCTTCCCAGGGGAACCTGGCACTCAGTAAAGCCCTGGGAACTGGGTAATGCCATCCTTGGGACACTCCTGGGCCCACAAAGCCACCTCAGGGTGCTCTGCCCTGCCCTCTTCCAGCACAGGAAAACCACACAACACGGTCTCTGCAGACAATAAAACCTGGCTTGTTTTTGGCTCCTCCCCAGAAAGGAAGCACAGGCGAGCAGGAAGGAGTTTTGGGGACCTCAGTCAGCCAATCCTAGCAGCAATTTTCAGAACTCTTGAAAGAAAGTTTCACAGTGAGAGTGTCTGTGCTGGGCAGCAAAGTCCAAGCAGTGAACAAACAGAGCTGGTGGCTCCATGTGACACAGGCAGAACATCAGTGCAGCTCTGCCTTTCCACTGCCACTGCAATGGAAACAAAGCTTTACTGCCTTTTTATCAGTCACTCAAATTATGTGGTGGAATTGCACTGGAATTCAGTAACAGACTGAAAATAAAATTATTTTTTGGTTTTCTGCCAGTCCAGTGTGAAGCACACATCTCAGAAAGACCCAGCTATAGCACACTGTTGAAATACCTGCTTGAAAAAGACAAACATGTTTTCACAAAGCTTGCACCACAATGTGGAATGATCCATTAAAATCCTCATTACATCCTCTAAAAAATGACAGAACAGCCATTTTTCTCAATTTTAGTGCCATTAAGTACACCCAGTTCCTCACTTTCTTGTTTCTCTCTTACCTACATTGCTAAGCACAATGTTTTTCCTACCCTGGACTTTCCAAACCAGCTGCAAATCTCAAGGTTTTTATAATTTGTCCTTACATTCCCACCTTTCAATCAAATCTTGAAGTCCTACTTATCCTTGAAGACTTTTAGAACTAATTACAGTTTTTTAGTTTAATATGAACTCTCACTTCCAATTTAGACCCTTCAAAACACACAACATGATGGCTATCACAAAAAAAATAATCATCAGCCTCTGGGTTTTTTTTAGAATTTCCTGTGTAGTAGCCAGCTCATTAGAAATGAAGCTCTCAAAGCCATGATTCACTCAGCACAGCAAAGCAGCCAGCACAAGTCAGAGCTGTCTCTGAACGCTGACCAGCACAAACACCTTGGAGAGAAACACTTTGGAGAGAACTTACACAGAAATACAAACTAAACACTGTCCGCCTGCTTCTAACTTTATACTCTGAAATAAACCACACAAAGCTCAGCTAACCTCTGTTTAAAGCTTAAAGTGATTTTAGCTGAACTTAAAGAAGTCAAAAAACTGATTACAGTATTTTATCTACACTGACTTAAACTGCACAAGAGTCTAATATTTGCCTTGCTCTCTGTTAACATTTACACCACAATTCTAAGTGTGGTCTCAGTCTATAACACACCTGGAACACATAAAACTACCTAAAACAAACAACAGAACTCAGCTGAAAGTCCCCTCTCATTGGGGGTGCAGATTGAATTCCCGATCAGTCCCGGTCTCAGCAATATTCCAGTCCGGCCAGCCTCCACACCCCAGGGCTGAGGAATAAGGACAGTATTTGGGGAAGCACAGCCTGTCACTTGGCACTACAATATCCAGGGACAATTTCCTGTGCAGGCTCATCCCATCAGCTGCTCCTGCTTCTTACTCCAGTGCAAGCCATGGGCCACAATTCGCTGTCAAGTTTTAGGTATTTAACAAACGGGAAGAATTCCTTGGCATCACTAAAAGCCAAACTGCAAACAAAGAACTTGTCATGGGACAAGCACAGCAGAGGGCAACTCCAAGAGCTGGGACTGCAAACGGATATGGCACAACAAAAAAAAAGCACGGGCACAGCCCCCAGTGCCCCAACAATCAAGAATTATTTATATTTGCCACTAAGGAGTTTTATCATCCCGTAATTCGTAATCCCCAGTGTAAACTGCGGCTCGTTTTTGGACATCTCCTAGGTGTTCCCGCTCTCCAGAGGCACGGAGGAGCACACAGCTGTCATTTGGGAACTAAACAGCCCCGGCACGCTGCTGTCAACGCCACCACAATGCAGGCATTCACTTCTCGCAAAGCAAAGCGAGTAAGCCTTGCCGACAGACCGGGGACGCAGCGCTGAGGAATATGCGGTGGGAAAAGCCCGGGTGAAGGGGAAAGCCAAGCTCGGGTTTCAAGGTTATTTAAGAACACGCATTTATCCCGTCCGGGCCCACGTGGCTCCCGCCATCGCCTGGGGCCCCGGGACTGAGTCACTGCGGCTCCCGAGCCCGCGGGGCCAGGCTCCGCTGCAAGGGCCGGCTCCGCTCGGCAGCGGCAGCAGCGCGGAGCCCGAGCCACGGCCACCTCCCGCTGCCAGCGCCCGGCCAGCCCTGCGGAGCCGCCGCATCCCGCGCTCCCCCGTACCTTTCCAGCTGAGGCGCAGGTTCCACTCGTAGAAGAAGATGAGTTTCCCTTTGCGGCTGTTGCAGGACGCTTCGCCCTCCACGTGTTTGAGGTCGCCGATCTCGCAGCGCCCGGCCTCGCCCTCCACCACCAGCCCCTCCAGCACCTCCTTCAGCTTCCTCTTGGACCAGCTGGTCGCGTCCCGCTCCGTCCTGTCCCGACAGCGGCGGGGTCAGCGCCGGCCGCCCAATTCCCCCCAGCCCTTCCCGCATCCCGTATCCCGTCGCGGCGCTCACCAGTGCCAGTTGTTCACGTTGGTGGCGTCCGCCCGCTCCTCCACGATCCAGCGCGGGTCCCCCTGGCCCCACTTGGCCATGGCGCTGCCGCGGCGCCGCCTCCGCCGCTCCCCCCGCTCCTGCCGCCCGCTTCCGCCGGCACCGCCAGAAGGTGCCAGAAACTTCCCCGCCCCGCCGGAGGAGGAGGAGGAGGAGGAAGGCGAGGCCCTGCCCTGCCCTTCCTCCCGGCGCGGGGGGCGGAGGGAGCGGGGACGGCGCCGCACGGAGCCGCCGCTGCTCTGCGTCTCGCCGGCCGCTCGCTCCTGCGCTCGGGAAAGCCGCTCCTTCGGGGCTGCTCCCGGCTCCGGGGGAAGGCACCGCCTAGCTGGAAAAGGAGAGAGTAAAAAAAAAAAAAAAAAAAGAAACCAAAACAACAAACCAGAAATGGAGGAAACCAGGAGAATTAGAAAACACTCTCGTTTTCAGACACTGCGGCGGACGCTTCTGCGCAAAAGAACAGAAGAATTGATGTCCCAGAATTACTCGATCTGAAGCAATGACAAGGCAGCGCCTCTGGAATCGGGTTTATTGTCTCGCCCGTTTGACACGTGCCAGAAGAAATTAAATACACAGTGAGACAGCGCTGCTGCTGCTGGGGAAGCACCCCTGCAGCACAGCACTGCAGCCCTTCCCGCACATTGCTTGTTGTCTTCCTTATCCAGCCTTAAAACAGCAACAGAATTAAAACCTGGATAACATTCCCATATTCTTATTGCTCATTTAATTCTGAGCTGTTCCAATGAGTCTCATTGTGCTTTTTCTAAAAATGTTCTTCATCGAGTGTTCTTATCAGAGAGATACATCATCACCAAACTCATCGTTTTCAGACTCATCATCTCCAGGCTCATCATCTCCAGGCTCATCATCTCTGGGCTCTATGTCCAAAATCACTGCCACCTCTGAAAATTTTACTCCTTTCAGTTCTTTCTCAGGGGTAGGCAATGTGGGATGAGGTGTTAAGGAAAGAGCTGGCTTCTGGTTTGTGTCTGTTGCAAAGGAGTTCTGCAAAAAAGCGTAACGCAGGTGAGGCAGAAAGCTACAAATGCTTGAGTGTGGAGAAATTATAAACAGTGGAAATCATAAAATTGTGAGCCCTTTACTGTTCACATTCCATAAAGACAGAAGAGCATCATCACTTCTGCTCCTGCTTCTAGGCATGGACAAACAGCCCCTCCTCTTAAGATTTTTTATAGAATCATGGAATGGTTTGGGGTGGAAAGAACCATAAGAGATTGTCCAGCCCCAGACCCTGCCATGGGCAGGGACACATTGCACTAGACCAGGTGGCTCCAAGCCCTGTCCAGCCTGGCTTTGGACGCTCCCAGGGATTACTTCACAAGATTTTTTTTGTTTTTAGTTCCATCAGATTAGCTGTTTTGATAATTCCTTCAGTTATTTGGTGAATAACAATAAAATACCTTGCACTCCATGCTTTGCAGTGAAAAAGCTCATTACCTGTTCTGTTGTGAATCTTGCTGTGGGCTGGGCCTCCACATTTCTACTTTCAGCAGCTTTTTCAGGTGCTCCATTTTCCTCACTTTCACCCTTGTAATCCAGCAGCACTGTCTCCAGGTAATTGTCTTTTTCAGGGGCCTGAATTTCGTCTTTTTCAGCATCATCTCCTCTGGTGCCTTCCAGGTTGTCAAATGACATCAGTTCAGGTCTCCTAAGAGAGGTCAGAGAATTCATAGCACCATAGGCAAAAATCTCAGCCTCTCTACAACCAAGAGCAGCGTGTACACTGACCTCAAAATTAGTAGGATTGTACCCAGGGGAATTAAATAGCTTCTTGTATCCTGAAGGGTCTTTTCTGCATTAGGATTAACAGTTTGCTAAAAAGTAGGAATTTGCCTTTGATACAAGATTAAAAGGTATTAACTTCCTTCAAGTGTAGAGACTTTTAACTTGTCATTTTAAGGGTCCTTAAAAATGGGCCTGTAGCCTAGTGGGAGATCCAGGGAAAATCCTATGTCACCAAAATAAACTAGAACCACGGTTTTTATATGCAGCTTTTTATAAATTTGTGATTGCAGCAGTCTACTTACCCATTATTCACATGCTCTGGTTTCTCTAAGCTTTTCAGACTTCCATTTTTGTCATCTGCCCATGGGTTATCAATGCCATCCATAATATCAACTTTCTTAACCAAATCCTGTTTCCCACACTTTCTGAAAACAATACATTAAAATAATAATAATAAAAAATTCTTTTTGAAAATTGGCTTTACAGCTGTTTTAGAAACAGAAGATGAATTATTCGTGTTATAAGTTTAATACACAACATTTATTTTCAGTGTTGTTCTGGGGATTAGCTTGGAGTATTTCCTATTTTCCCATAATGGTAGCAGGGTAAATGTTTGCTTCCCTTCTGGAAATTGTTTTCCTCTACCATGTGGCCCTGAAGTTAAGCAGCAAAACCTCCCTTGGTTTTGCCATTTATAGGGTTGGAAAAGACTCATGTGCCCCCCGTCACAGTGAAAATTTCTGCTGCCCACATTTCCCTGTTTCAGAAGTATTTGTTTCTGCCTTTGCTGTGTGACAAACCAGTTGTGTGCGGCGCATCCAACATAACAAATCTGGGGCAGTGCTCCCTGCAAAAGCCGGTAATTTATCAGACAGACACCTTTGGAGCTGACACTTCATTAAGCCCATCAGCTGTAAAGGTGAACGACGCTGTTAAGGCAAGCCCTGTGTACCTTTTCCTTCTCAGATCCAGCAGGACGTAGGCCAGGAAGGCGATGCAGGTGGCGGCGAGCAGCACCCCGAGCACGATGGCAGCCGTGAGCTCCGGGCGTGCCGGGGCCGCCGGAGCCTCGGCGAGCGCCGCGCTGACAGGTGCCGAGAACACCTGCTGCAGCCCCAGCTCGATGGCACCCCTCTGCTCCCGCAGCTTCCTGGGCAGAGAGGGGAAAACGTGCACCTGAACCTCGCCTTCCTTTCGGCTGCAGGAGTAGCGAGGAAAATATAGGATATCCCTCCCTTTTCCGGGCGTTCGCACTTGTTGTCGTGGCTTTCCTTCAGGAAAAGCTGTTTGCCAGCAACCCGCCCTGCTGCTTGTGACCTAAAGTGCTGCAGAGCTTGGACACTTGAACTGGATCCACATCACTGACAGGTTACCAAAGAAGTGTAAAAAGTGTGAAATACAACTCAAGTGTGGGGTTGTAATCAACATTCTGCCACTCTGGTATCTATCTTATCTATCTATCTATATATCTGGTGTATATATATATATATACACTATATATATATATATACACTATATATATATATATACACTATATATATATATATACACTATATATATATATATACACTATATATATATATATACACTATATATATATATATACACTATATATATATATATACACTATATATATATATATATAAGGTGTATATGTATATATATATATATTAAAAAATATATCAGGTCAATATATATTTTCATTATATTCTTTGTCTCTCTTAAACTTTTTCTCTCTTAAACTGACTTTTAAATCTAATTTGCACAATGAAACAGCCTTACCCATGTTTTTGGCAAGCTCTGAAAATTAGCTTTTGGTAAATAGTGAATCAGCTTTCTGCATTGTAAAGAATGCTGTCTGAACAAACTCTGACCCCCAGAAGCCAGACTGTGCCATGACTGTGCTGTACAGACCTTTTTACATCTTCTGCAGGTACTTCCTGGTGGGCCTCATCAAAAGCAATGATGTTTATTTGGGTTTCATCAGTGCTGCTCCTTGAATTTCTGTCAGACTCCTTGGAATAAATATTAAGCACATACACATCCCATCCAAGTTTCTCTTCCAGGACCCTGACATCATATGAAGAAAACATTTTTAATTGACTGGGCAATGACAGATTCTTTTACTCTAGAAATTAAATGAAGTAGTATTTAATACAACACTTGGCAGATATTAATTGATACTAATAAAAATACCTTGGCAAGTATTTTGATTGAAGCATGTAAAAATTCAGGATTATCATCAGCAAAGGAATTAAGCTATTTGTCCAAAATTGTTGAGTGATTGAGTAACAGAGGAAAAAAAATATCTATATATTCCTATAAACAGTAAAGGTGGGGAGGAGGGAAATTTAGTCTTATAATCCTCATTGTTTTCTCCTCTTCTTCCAGAAATTTCGTGCTGGATGGGACCAGTGGCCCAGTTAATCCATCATTCTGGTAGCAGTCAGCACCAGCTGCTTCCAAGGAAGTTTTTCATTTCCATTTTTACCAGCAAGGACTGGTCCATAATAGCATAAGCATCACAAACTCATTTTTCCCACCTTCAGAGTGATTTCCCTTTATAAGCACAGGACTCAATCTTTCCCATGTAAATATATGTTTATGTGTATCCAAACAAAAGCTCTTCCATCTTTGTTAACATGCCAGAAAGGCCCAATTGTGGTTTTAATTTAATGGTGGGTTTGGGTTGAGGTGTCTGCCCTATGTCTCCATGTTTTTATCCTGCTGTCCATGAAAACCTTTATCCTAGGCTGTTAAAAATGACACAAACATCGAGGTGGGAAGAGACCACATGAAACTGTTTAGTCCAATGACCTCTTTGAGATGTGTCAGCTTCAGGGTAAAAACTTACAAGGCAAAATTTGGTGCATTCCTGGGAATTTGTTCAAATTATTCTCAGCTATGTCAAATGGAAGGCCTGGCTTTTCCTGAGCACTGCTGTAGGCTGTCAGACCCCTGTCCCAAAGGGACTCTGAATTTATCATCAGATATTATACCAGAATAAGCTTCACAGTTTCAAAAATACCTTTGTACTTCAGCACTCTTTCTTTCCACAACACTGATCTTCTGATTCAGCACCAGCGTCACAATGTTGCTGCTGGAACTGGCATCAACAGTTACCTAATAAAGAATCACAGGTAAGATTTCCTAAAGCATTTGCACCTCTTGTAGATTGACCAAAAAAACCCCTCACATGAACAACAATAACAAAAATCCTCTGATACAAAATAATTGTCCTCCAAAAGTCAGTTTTTGTGCCAACATATTTTTATATGTCAATGAAAATGACCACCTCTTAATTCCAATATGTAAATATTCATGTATCTGACAGCCCTATTGACAGAGTTAAGTAATTTTGTAGTTTTGCCATTACCAAATATTAGTAAAATTTACAATTTTGACATGGAGTAAATCAGGATTATACATAAAAATCTTCCTTACACTGACTGTTGTCTGGGCTGTGAGTCTTCTTGTGCCTTGGTCTGCAGCTTGCACTTCCAGATAAAATGTTCCAGCTTTTCCTGCTACAGAAACTGTAAAAATCTGCCCTGTGTTTTCATTGATGTCAAATTCGTTGGTTTGACCTCCCACTAAGCTGTACTGCAGACGTCCATTGTCTCCTGAGTCTGGATCTGTGGCCTGGGTTTAAAAAAAGCGATTTGTGACACTCAGCCTGTGGCGTTTGGGCTGCGCGTTGTTCTTCAGGCAGTAAACTGAAGGCTCCTTTAATGCAGTGCAAGAAAGCCACGCAGGAAATACTCTACCTGGACTGTGATGACAGGGTGTTTGTAGGGCACAGAGCTGGGAAGGCGGGCAGAGTAGGAGTGGCTGGAGAACGCGGGCTCTTCGTTCACGTCCTGCACGGAGATCGTCAGCATGGCCGCGTTCTCAGCAAACAGCCCTGCGAAAACACAAGTGAACAACCTGCACCAGCAGCCTTTCACTGTCACATCAGACTTTGCACGTTATCACAACTCCTGTGTGGATTGCAAGCACAAAAGCTGTGTCCGTTGTTCCCCTGGAATGTTGTTCAAAGCGAGAAGTTACCTGAACGCTGGACTTCTGCAGCGGAGGAGACTCTTTTGTTTGCTTGAACTAAAATCACATACTGGGAAACTTCCTCATAGTCCAAATTAACTGCTGTTCTCAGCTCACCACTTTCAGGATCCAGTCTAAAGTGACCTGAAAGGACAAACAGACACTTCTGCTGTGACACTGCCATTAGTTGCCCTTGGGATGTTTCCATGGCTCCTTTGCTCACTCAACACTTCCACTGGCCAGGCATCACAGCTGGGCTCCTACCCCACCCCAAACAGCTCTGAGACATGCAAAGGAGCAGTAAATGTGAAAAAGGATTTCACATGATTTCACAGATAAGGAGAACTGCAGCTCCTTCTTGCACAGCTCCAGTTTTTATGCATTTCCAGTTTTTCTCTCAGTTTCTATGTACTGCCTTTGTTGTGGGCCAAATGGAACCTGGGCACAGCTGCAAGGGGGCAGATGCCTCAACATAAATGCAAGGAAATGATGGACTAAAAGTGATTGGCAGGGAGGAAGCTGCTTGTTAACAACACTTTCTATTTTGGCTCCCCCAGTCCCTAAATTATCCTTATCTTATAGTTTAAGATTAAAAGAAGCCATTTCTTAGCAAGTTGCCACCCTTCCTAAAGCCAAAGATCAGCAAAGTCAATGCTGAAAAGCCTGAAAAAAATTCTCTGTGTACTCCTGTTTTTAAAAAAAGTTTTATCCATGCTCTCCATCTCCTCATTTATGCACAGCAGCACCTGCCATGCAAGAGACAGGTTATGATGTTCTCCTGGCTATTTTAACTCATAAGGGGGCTGGTACTCACCTCTTTCATTGCCAGATACAACAGTGTAATCAATCGGTTTTCCTGAAGTTTCAACCACAGCAAAATTATAAATTAAATAATCCACTCCAGTGTTTTCCAAAACAGAAACGCTGATGCAGGAAATAAATGATAAACCATAATGTTAAATTTGCCAGCAGTGGTTGCTCAGGCAGGTTTGAAATGTAAGTCTTTAAAAGAGAGTTCTCTTTTAATCTTGCCCACTCCCCCAGTTGTTTGCCAGATCTGCCCAACTTTCAGAGTGCAGTGCAAACCCTGGTTTTCCAGCCAGATTTTTGGTCATCTTTGAGTAAAACCTAAGGAAAAATGTTTCATAGTGTTCAAGAGAAAAAGGACAAAGAGTCTGGCTTATAAAAGCTGCAAAGTAGAGAAATGAAAGGCAGTGCCTCAACTCACATTCACAGAACCCCAAGCGTAGCAGAATTTCCTATGTATTGCTTAAAAAACCCCCCAAAACTGATGTCCTTTCTTCTGCATGGAAAAATATGAAAGTGACCTTCAACTTTGCTATGTTTTGCACCACCTGGTGAAGACATCCCAGTTATTTAACTGAATATGAAAGCCTCACCTGATCTCACTTTTGTTGAGGCGAGGAACGAACGGGCGGTTGTCAAACACACTCAGAGTAACCACAGCAGTGCCATTTAAAGGAGGAGAACCTTTGTCCTTTGCCATCACTGTCAAATGCATCTCTCCAGACCTAGACAGGTTTCCAGTTGTAATTATCTTCCCCTCACTCAAATCCTCTATCAGGAAGAAGGGGCTCACGGTGGGATCCGGGAGGATGTAATACTCAATGAGGCCATTTTGCCCCTGCCACGAAAAAACCACAATTTCATGGAATTGGGAGTGTGTTTGGAAGGGTAGGATAAACACTGAAACAAGAGATCCAAAAAACATCTAAATGTCTCTAGTGAAATTATTTTGAAAACAGTGGGTTGTTTTTTTTTAAGAATAAAAGCTATGGGAGAATGTGTACAAATTTAAAAAAACAAACCACAGAGCAGAAGAAAATACACAGTACATTGGACATTTACACAGTAAAAACATGGGAAAATGCCTCTAATGAAAATAAGTTAGTTGTGTAGAGGGGACCAGTCAGAGTAGTGAGGGTGGCACAGGGAGGACAAGTGCCACTCTGCACAGCTGAAGGAGGAGTTTCATTGGGGTCTCAATGCAGATCTCCCACAGTTCAGCAATTTTCAAAGGCAATTGCACTTTTTGTGCAGAGTCATTGAAAAGGCTGATTAAAAAAGGGCTGTTAGATGATTTGCAGCAATGTGCCACAGCTGCAGCTATTCCAACCAAAATTATGCGTGGAGAAATGGGAAGGCACCTGCTACACCTATTTTGTTGTCACTTGGAGATGTTTCATCTTGTAAATGATATAATTACTAGTGATGTTGTCATGGTGATGTGGCTGACTACTGGATATCCCTGCCAGTGCCTGGATCCTATTTGATGGGTGTAGTACAGATATATCAAACAAAATTACGTTTAAAAATGGGGGCAGAGAGAATGAACTGGGGTGCCATGCTTCGGAGGAGTTTAGCAAGCAGACATTTCCTTGCTCAAAGCAGCCATATGATGTTTAGTTTTTACAGATTCTTCTACCTCAAAAGTTCAAATAACTTCAGAGACACTAAATTGCTTCAGCCCTTGTGTACTTCTGAAGCACTGGTGCATGCAGCTCTGTGTAGGAAAGAGTAAAATTAAAGGGAATACAGCTGAGGAAACATGCCCAGAGCCAGGGAGCACATCAATGTCAAGGCAGAGCCAGCAAAACTCCTAATTTCCAGTTCTCAGAGCTGGTAGTTAAGCAGGATTCACTTTCTGCTGGGTTTGGTGCTGCATGCCTGGAGAAAGGAGCAGGATGTGTGGGTGCTGCAGCCCAGAGCAGGCGCAGGGTCACAGCAGGAATCAGTCACCTGGTCGCGGTCGGTGGCGCTCACGGTGAGGACAGGAGCGCCCACGGGGTTCACCATGTTTATGGAAGCAGAATAGGAGCTCTGGGCAAACACTGGGGCATTGTCATTCACATCAATCACTGCAACACTGACAGGGCTGGCTGCCTGGAAAACAAAATGGTGCCATGCATCTCAGAGCATTCAGAAACTCTTATTTAGCATTGCTTTTTTCCTTACTCGCACGTGCAACAGAAATTATAAATCAGGCTTTGAAAAGGCAGCAGTGAAAAATTGTCTGGGTTTAATTGTGTGAACTCAGCATCAGAGATCACTACAGGATTTTAGCAGGAGAGGCAGGAATTCAGTGTTGCAGTAGGATTCTTCTTGAAAGGTGTCTGAATGAGTAAGAGCAGGACATGTTCAGGAGACCAACACGTCCTCCATGCATTTAAGGAAACCACACACATTCTGATTCTGTTAAAGAAGTGTCTAATAACTTTTCAAATGAAAGAAATACAGCAGAACTAGAACAATCTGCTGAAAATACTTCTTCTCCCACAAAAAATTATCACATCACTTACAGTTCTAACAGCAGGAGACCAACTCCAGTTCCCCAGCACAGGTCAGTCAGCAAACAATTCAGGGTCAAAGCCTACCATGCATAATTTTGAAGTATTCCACATAATTAAAGTATACTACTACTACTCAATGTGGTTAAAGGCTGTAGAAGTCTGACTCTAAACATGATGAGGTGACTCATTTATCCTACACAATAAATGGCTGGGATAGATCTCCCTCCCTGCAGTTCAAAATCCACTCTGAAGTGTTGCTGTTCATTACAGTAATGGTCTCTTACCTGATAGAAAGGGGCAGATTTATTGTTGACTGCAGTCACTGTAAGGTTGTATTTGTTCATGGTTTCATAGTCTGGAGAGTTCCTTATCTTAATGATGCCCTGTATTTCATCTATTTCAAATATATTCTCTCCCTCACCTGAGACAGATTTAAACAAGCATCATCAATTAATACATGTTAGCAGCACATAATTAACTACACTCTTAAATTATATGTTTACTTGTGCCCTGAACTCATCAAAACAATTTTTAAAGTAGTGTATGGATAATGTAGAAGAAGAGCAGAAATATTTTGAGTGGGTGGGTGTTTGAAACACAAGCCAAGGTTTGAAAATTGTATGAGCATGAATTAGTAACATGCCTAACCAGGTGAAAGTGAATGTTCTTGGCTTTGGTGGAAAGAGGTTAGCAAATAACAGGGGTAATACTAATTATGCTCTAGACAACAAAGTGCCAGTGCAGTGGCAGAATTGCTTGTTACCTGTAAGGTGATACAGAACAAAGGCATTGTCTCCTGTGTCTCTGTCTGATGCTGTGATTTTTCCAACTATGAATCCCACAGGCACGTTTTCATGGACACTGAAGTCAGGCACTGGGTCAAACACAGGTGGCCAGTCATTAATGTCAGTGATCTTTATCACAACTGTGCAGTAACCCCTCTTCTTCTCAGGGATCCCATCATCTTCAGCATACACCACAACCTGTAAGTTACACAGTTATTGGTGGTGAGAAGTCATACAAAGTCCTTGCATAAGGATTTTTAAAATCTTGGTGAATTTTAAATTTTGAAATATTCTTAGAAATGTAAAGTCCAGTTCTGAATTCTCCTCGAAATGATTATTGAAAACTTAATGAGTATTTGGGTGAACAAAAAAGTCTTTCCATGTAGAACCAACAAATTCACAAATATTTTTGCTTGAAGCAAAATAGGACCATAAAAAATATCCAGCAGTGGCAACAACAGAAAGAAGACTAACTGAGAATCATTTCTGCAAGATCTCAGCACAGGTTCAGGCATCAGACAGTGCTGAATACATGAGCTGTCATTGTGAAATTAGTTATTCATGTGCTGAAGTGTTTTCAGGGCAAGTGAACAATGAGCTCTGCTTGAATTTCATTCTAGTCAAAAGGCAGTGGCTTGTTTTAATAATGCCTCATACCTTGAGATGCTCCTGTTCTAAACCAGTGCAGAAAATGTTCAAGCATTATCAGGCTAAACAAAAGCACAAGTGTCACCTGTTTTCCAAGAGAAAGATAAAGAGATCTGAATAAAGAAGATTTAAAATATCTAAAGCAAACCTGATACTCTGTGGGCTCCTCTTCATAATCAAAGGGGGCAGTGGAATAAAGGATTCCAGTGGTTTCATTTATCCTGAATTTCAGGCCTTGTCCATTGAGAATGCCATATGTCAGGAAACCATTTCTGCCTGTGTCATTGTCCTGAGCTTTCAGCTGCACAATCTGAGTAGCAGGGGAATGCTGTGGAGGAAGAAAGACTGAGGCTTTCAGGGACTGCTTTGCTGCAATTGCTTGAATTATGTGAAACTAACAGGTACTGCATCCACTTACAGTTGTATAGGCATTTTAAAATCAGAATTATACACTTGTTCAGCACAGTAACAGAGTCTCTTGCTTTCTCTAATGTACAGAAAATAACTGTTTTCCTCCCCCCATGTCTCTACCTATAGCTGCAGTTTTCAGGAAGAAATATTATTTCAAACAGCCCAAATGTTAACCTCAATGTCTGACTTGCTGTTATTTCTGTGTAACAGCCTCCTCTCCTGTGAAACTCAATGGGTGTTTTCAACTCCAAAATCACGTTTCTTTCTGAACACTATTTGGCTAATAATTATCAAAATAAACAATCTAATTTTTCCTTTTTAGCAATGTTATTTGCACCAAGACTGACAGAAGGTATCAGTGTTTCACTTGCAGGGCCATTTGAGACCTGAAGTTATTTGATCCAACAGGGCACCCAGCAATTCCCACTGTGTAAATATTTCACATGGAAATCAATTTTTTAAGGTTGGGAAGTATGATTCTAGTTCTTCTCCATTAAACTCACTGGGAACATTAAAATTATGTGTAATAAGTTGAACCTATATTTAATACAGTGGTAGAAATGGACTAGACTTTAAATCAGTTGTGGCTGCTGAAGACAATATGTGTGCATCAGCTAGGGATCTCAAAGGCAGGGTATGTGCTCTATAAAATATTAACATGATCAATGTGCTTCTTTTCTTTTTAAAAAAAAATACAACCAGTAGATTGAAGTGTGAAAAGTGTTGCTTAAAAATTGAAGAGTGAAATGTTGAGCAAGATGCTTTTGCATATTTAAATGCTGTGGCTTCTTCTGTAGAGAATCACAATGTCTGAAAATCTGACTGAAATCTGGCTTGTTCTCTGCTGCTGATCACTTGTGCCAGCAAAATCACACCAGACTGTACGTGAGCAAGAGCAGAAATATTGTTAAATCAGAGACTGTGCCCTGTTACTTCCACAGCTCCCTCACAAAAGGCTGAGTGAGGGCCTATGGGGTGCCCAGAACATCCAGTAGATTTTGAATCACCTGAATATTCTCTGTGTAAAATATTCAAAATGGAGCGGTAGTTCTTCCTTCATGGAGCCCCCTATTAGAAAATATTCACTTTTCCTTCAACAAGTCCACACTTCTAGATCATTCTTGTTGTGCATTGGGATTGAAATAAACCTCACAACACCATGTGGTAGGATAGAACAGCAAGTCTGCCCAGTTCCAGAAGGTTTACTTGTATACTCAACAAAAGATTCTTTTTATTATTATTATTATTATTTTGGAGACTTATTTTTGTAATTCAGTTTGGATGACATTTTCTTACCTCTGGCAATCTCTCTTCCAGTAGAGAAGATGGGAAAACTGGTGGGAAATTGTTTTCATCAATGACTTCCACCTTCACCTCCACTTCATTAAATATGGTAGCATTAGATGAGTCTGTTGCTCGTACCTTGAAATCTACTGGAAAGTCTTCCACTTTTAGATTCTTACTTGTTCTTACAATACCATTGGATGGATGGATAATGAAATATCCTGTTACAAAAAAAAATCAACCAGAAATTATTCTGGTTATGATTTCATTAGTTGAAACTGAAGATATGAATCTTTCAGTGAAAATTACACATTATTTATATGAATATTGTATGCTACAGTATTCTTCAAAGAACAAAATTAAATTCAATGTCTTTACAAGGCTGACAAGAATGTCAGATATATCCAGGGCTGTAATTAACAAAAAGAAACAATTCAGAAGGTCAGATGGGAACCAAAAGGGAGAAAATTCAATGCACCACTCTCCAGTCAGGTATTCACATTCCTCTGAAACAGTCAGAGATTATTTGTCCTTCTTTCTTAGAATTTTTTTATATTTCCTAACAAGTCCTATTCTTACTGAAGATGAGGAATTTTGCAACTACCTTCAAGATCATGACTTCATACAAAACACTTTACAAAACTGAAGTACAAATTGGATGTTTGATGATAGATTAAAGTCAGCTCTATATTTAGCAAAAAACCACTAGTGACAAAGCACTGATGCACTTGACCACGTGCAAACTCACTCCAGGCACTCACATTTGTTAGGAAAACGTTGCTGAGTTAGTTTTTTTACTACAAATTTTTGTGCTATTAGTTATTTTTTGTCCAGCCAGAGTAACTTTGTGCCTGGCCAGGTACAGCCTGGTCTTCCCGCAGCACACACAGCACGCAGCTGCTGAAGCCAGCCCTGTATCACGTGCCTTGTGCTGCTCTGACAAATTCAATCCCATTCCCACACCTGATCCACCTCAAACTGGTGCCCTGCCTTCATTCCCACCCAGTGTTAATGGAACTGAGGCAAGAGCAGAAGGCAGGAGAGAAGAAACCATCCCAAAGCTCCACGCTTTTCCCGTTGTCCCACATCCAGGGCTCACCCTTCTCATCTCCAGAGGTGATGCTGTAGTTCACAGGGAGCTTGTACAAGGCTCTGACCTCCACAACAAACGTGTCTGTGGGGCTCTTCTCTGACAGAGGGGCAGGGTGATAGGCTTCTTCCAGGAACACTGGGAAGGACACATCCATGGGAGCAATCATGACTGACACCTGCAGAGAAAGGACGTGGCCATGGGGGTGATGTTTGCAGCTTCAGCGAAAACTTCCCTACTGAGGTGTGGCACAGCACAAGTCCAGGCCTTGGCCAGTGAGGAGAAGGCTGGGATTGCTGCCTGCTGTGTTTGACACTGCCCTGAAGGCAGCAAATGCTGGTGGGAAACACCAGAAGCCTCATCAGTTTAGGTTCACCTGGGAGCTTTGCTAAAGGCAGAGCTCCAGTTCCTCACATCCTGCACATTTCAAAGGACTTGTCTAACTAAGCAGCTCTCAGAGAGATGCACTCATCTCCAGCCTTCCACTGCAGAGGGTGTAACCAGAGCAGGAGTTTGCATTTACAGTATTTTAAGACTATTGTAACTGATTTATAGATTAAGAACAAAAGGTGATAGTTGGTAAATAAAAAATGCTTCACAAAAATAGTTTATTTCTGTAGCTAGACAGCTGCTTTCCAATCCTCTGAAGAATGATGGCTTGTAAGTCTAAATGTTAAGGTTGTTGAAGGTAATTTTCTACATCTTTATCCATATAGATTTCTAGTTCTTTTTTTAATTCTGCTGTGATATTTAGTGGCAAAAGGTCACCACCAAGTTATAAGCACTGTGTAAAAATAATTTTTAAATCATATTTACATTTCTCACTCTTCAATCTAGAAATTATTTTTTCTTACAATATGGGAGAATAAACAGGAACACTATTTGCCATCTCCTGTTTATTTATCACGTACTTCCATGACATCCTTTCTTGCTGTCCCACTCTTTGACCTTGCACAGAAGTCTCTGCTGCTCTAATCCTCCTCCCTCACAGCCTGGAGCTTTTCTGTCTTTTCTGAAGTGGAATGATCACAACCATTTTGGGTGGTGTGCCAGCAATTGCTAGGGCAGCATAACTTGGTAACTGTTATCTTGTAGCCTGAAACAGAAATAAATCTCTGACATTCTGATTCCTGGTTTGCATAGTTTTGCCTGACTAATAGCCCTTTCCTGGTGTAGCTATGCTCAGTTTAGTATAAAGCAGTCTGGGGAATTAGCTGTGCAGTAAAGAGAGGGCAAGGCAGAAATTTTGGTACCTTTACAGAGGTTGAAAGAGGCGGCAGACCCGAATCCGTAGCGGTGACGTTCAGGGAGTAGTACAGGGGAACAGCTTGTGTGGATAAGTCTCTTGTTAACCTGAGCTCTCCTGTGGCACTGGAAAGACTAAAGAGGCCTTCTGAGTTTCCACCTGAAAACAGAAAGTGTTGGAGGTGTTCCCTGGAGCCAGCACAGACAATTGGCTGAAGTGCATGCCCAGGAGTGAAGAGACACAGGTTGAAATCCTAATCTGCACGTGAGGTTTGGAGCAAGACACCCCCTCTAGTCCAACCTCTTGGCTCAAAACATTCAGGAGTGAATTCAGCACAGGCTGTTCAAGGCTTTGATCCATCAGGTGAGAATCCCCAAGGATAGCCTCTCTGGGCAACCTCTTCTATTAATTAATGATCTTCACAGAGGATTTTTGACCCCTTCTATCCAGTCAGAACCTGCCAGTTCAGTTTATGACCATTCTCTCTCGTTCTGGTGTCATGCAGCTTGCTTTAGCAGTGTCAAGCATGCCAGTGATAAACAGCTCTAAGATTTTCTCCTAGCATACCTGAAATACTGTAGAAAATGCCTTCATCATAACCCTTGCCTTCATCTCTTGCATTGATGTCTGCTACCAGTGTGCCAGCTGTAGAATTGTCTGGGAGGATCTTGTAATATGAGGACTGGTCAAACACGGGTCCTTCTTCATTGACATCTTCCACAGTAACTGAGAAAGAATCATCACACTTGGTGAGTTTTACCTAAAGGGTTACAAGTTGTTTTTTTCAGCTAATATAAACCAACACAGCTCCTCTGAATGAGAATATATCCAGTCACACTGATCAAAAGCAGGGCTGGCCAAAAGCTAGGGTACCAACTTCACAGAAACCTTTATGTCTTTTTTCCTCCAACAGAACAAATGCATTTAATTTTTTTTAATGAAAAAAGGCCAGTAATCAAGCCCTGTTATTTTAACGAGACTGAAAATCACTGTCAACACTCTTTAGCACCCTAGAAACTGCCCTTCTGTATACAAGCAGAAAAAAACCTGAATTTTGTTTTTGGAAACCTTTTCAATCAAAATGTCAATAGGTTCTCAGAAAACAGAAAAAAAATTGTGAATATATTGAAGGAAGTAATGTCAGTTTGTGTGAAAAATTCTCATTTTTGACATGGCAAACTTTTTTTAGAAAAAATTCATTTGGCTATAGTGAAAAGATCACATTATCAGTTTTGATAATTTACTGTAGCAGATGCATTAGTATTGGTTTATACCTCAGAATTACACATACTGAAATATTCCCTAGGGTTAATGAAGGTTAATTTTCTGTGGTAAAGTAGAGCTACCTGTAATGTTTGCTGTGTCCTGGAGATGTGGCTCTCCAGGATTGAAAGCTTTCAGAATAAACATGTACTGGGATTGACTTTCATAGTCCAGAGGCTGAAGGGTTGCAATATCTCCAGAAAGTTCTCCAACATGAAATGAAGTTGTCTCTCCAGTTATGGTGTAATGAATGATGGCATTGTACCCTATATCTGCATCTGTGGCTACTGCACTCAAAATCTAAAATAAAAGGAGAAAAAGTCAGCAACAAAAGGTTTAGAGCAGAACAAAGAGAGTGGCAAAACATGCCCACAAGACTGATATTGACCCGCAGAGTGTTCACTGGCTGAATTACTCATTAATTGGTTAATTGCATTGCTGGCAATCTGGCACAGCTTGTGGCAGAGCAGTTCCAGATTGTCAGGTGACACCTCTCCCCCTGACTCCTGTCAACCTTTGGGGCACATCTGCAAGGCAGATATGGAGCCAGAAATGCTCTCACATTCTTTTTGCCCAGGGAAGCTGGGATGCCCTCAAGGAAGCTGGGATGCCCTCAGGGAAGCTGGGATGCCCTATCCCTGGAAGTTTTCAAGGCCAGGCTGGATGGAGCTCTGACCAAGCTGGTCTTAGAGAAAGGTGTCCCTGCCCATGGCCGAGGGCTTGGAACACGATGGTCTTTAATGTCTCTTCCAATCCAAACCATTCCATGATTCTAAGACAGAAAAGCTTAAGAACAGAGGGATGCTGGACAAATCCACAACACCTACAGCACTAAGCATCTTTAAAACATGCTGCCCATAGATCCAGTGAAAACTCAATCTGTGCACAGTGAGGAATCACTGCTGAGGACAAGAGGGAAAGGGGGAGCAGCTCTCAGTCTCTGTGAGAGTTTTAGGAGGAATCAGTGGGACAGGTACTCCCCTGTCACACAAACCAAACACGCTGTGTGATTCCACAGGCCCCACAAATTAAAAAATGAAGTTCACCAATGCACAGCCATGAGAGGTTACTGCCCCTTCCAGGTGCACAGAGAGAAATCAAGAGCAGAAGAGGCTGCTTATTCTTAGTGCCACACACCACACGTGGAGGCTCGTTCTCCCTCACAGTCACAGAGTAGGATTTTTGGGGGAGCACTGGTGGGTTGTCATTCACATCTTCCACAGCGATGCTCAGAACTAGGCTTGCAGATTGTGGTGGCTTGCCAGCATCAGTGGCCTGTGAAGGAACAACTTGTCATTAAAAACAGTATTACTTTGACACAAATTTACTCTGCCAGTTCAATTTTGCTCCAAAAATGGTGAGGTTTTTCCTCTAACATCTTTCTGCTGGGCCAGTTATCCCTCAGTGACACTTTTCGAGCCCTGTGCTTGGTTAGTTGCCACATCTTCCTGCAGCTGGGATCCTCACCCTGTCACATGCTCTGCTCTCATTATCAATTAATCAAAAGCTCAAGCCTGGATGCAGATCAAACACGCCATGTGATCAGATGTGGCACTAATCAACACAAGACTGTGATGTACAGATATCTGGGCTCTGGCGGTTGAAAGAAGGAGGAAATCCCTTGCATTTTGAGGTTTTAAAGTGCCAAAAAAAGCAAATTGTGAAGATCATCCAGTATGTGGCAAATTCACAGTCAGTTTTGCACTGCTCCAACACCTGCCATAGAAAATTCTCATCTGTAGGTGCATATACACAGTTATCAATTAGTCTTAAAAAGCGTCCACTTCTATTAACTTGAAATTTTTCTGAAGACATTGCTCAGTTTTTACTATGTCTCCTCTATATCTTCCACAAGCTCTTTAACCTGTAAAAATGTCCTTTAATATATTTGTACTTGATGGAACTTGATGGAACAAACAAATATATTTATCAGTGCTGGAGCACCTGTATGTATGCACAGTAATTGATCTGATTAGTAGCAGTAAAACTCCATGAAATCAGCTAGAATAAATAGATAACCTCATGGATGTTGTGTGAAAGTTTATGCTTTTTCTTTTCTTCTCTTTTTTCTTTTTAAATCCCATTTGAAAAATCTCATTTCAGGTATTTTTTAAAAAGATCCGAGGACATGTATTTTGGAAAAAATGAATAAAATAAGGGAAAGGGATAAATAACATAGATTGGCAAGGCAGCTGTATGGTCTAAAATGGACTCAGGAATGCTTTGCAGCTGTTGTGTGACTGTGACCTTTAAAATTTAGGGTTCATAAGTCATTTATTCACTAATACAAATTTACAGAGCAGAAAACAGAGCTCTGCATACAAAACATAAGGAGCAGTCAAAACTCTTCAAATGGAATTCTCTAAGATTAAGTGGCTTTCTTGTGATGGTTCAGTATTTCCTCTTTTTTTAATGCTGAGAATTGTGTTAACTTGCACCAAATTTGTCAACTTACAATTATTTTCAGTTCATAACTGTCCATCACTTCTCTGTCTAAGGGTTTTTTTGTCACCAGCTTGCCAGTAGAACTGTTAATATGGAATGTTCCAGCAAAATCATCTTGCAGAGAGTAGCTGAGAAGTGCATTATCTCCTATATCCAGATCACTAGCAGAAAATGTGCCCAAGTCTAGACCAGCTTCATTCTCAGGAGCTGATAAACGAGTTTGGATCCATGCTGAGAAAACTGGAGGGTTGTCATTGATGTCTTCAACTCTCACAGTTACCTATATTGAAAAAAAAAGAAACAAAAGGAGAAAAAGACACAAATTTGAGCTCTAGAAGTTGTATCCAAAGGAGAATTTTGATGTATTTTAGTCCACGGAAGCCTAAAGGAAAACAACCAAGGAACAAAACCCAAAGAAAATAGAAAACAACTTCAGCATTTCTCAGCATTTGAGCATTTTCACAACCTCTGAATTTTTAATCTATTTTAATTCTCAGCTGCAAGATAACATGTGTGTAAGATAACACACTCTAACTGGAAGAGATGCACAGAACTAATAACCTGGGGCTCTTTGGCTCGTCTGCCTCATGCATTTGACAGAGCCACGCACAGAACCAGTTCTGGTGTTAATCAGTTTCTCTGGTTATGAGTTGTTCATAAGGGGCTCTCAGGGAGTGACACAATCTGTGAAGCTGACAATATCTCCAGATGGTAATGTCTCCTCAGGATATAAAAAAAGGGAAATTAAATAGAAGGCTCTCAAAGCTCCACATTTGCATGACAGAAGACACTTATCTGGATTTTGCTTGATTGTTAATATTTTTTAAAAGATATTTCATAATCCTTGATGAAAAATATTTTGAAATGCATGTTCCATACCAAAGCAACAGCTGTGTTGGGTGGCACCAGAGAATCCACAGCTTCCACAAGGATGCTGTACAGGTCTCCTCCTTCCCTATCCAGCCGGGCCAGGGCCACGATGTCTCCTTGGTCCCCGATGGAGAACTTGTCCCAGTGGGATTTCAGGGAGTACCCAACCTGCACAGCTATGCTGCCAGTCAGAGCCCTCACAGAGCCCACTGCAGTCCCTGGGGCTTTGCCTTCCTCGATGCTGAACTCGTAGCTGGAGCTCTCAAAAGTCAGCCCAAAGCTGGTGTCATTTACCAGCAAGTAGAGAATAACAGAGGCTGAAGAGAGAAAACAAATTAAAATAGTGAAGTCACTGCTCAAATCATCATGATCTGTGCTCTGTTTCCTTAAGCTCTTGAGGAACCAGTAGAAACTGATAGAAATTATCACACAGGAAAGGGAAATACCAAAAACCAATAGCAATAAGGATTAATATGTAACACAAAACGTGATGCTTTTGCACCTGATTGATTTTCCAATCTTCCCTGATTACAGAAGTGTTGCTTCAGCATGACAGGAGAGCAAGGATCACCAGCCTGAAGCTAATGGGATGTGCAGGTGTTTCACACTCCTTAAAAACCCAACCCTTAATTGTTTTGTAACAAGAGAGGAGGGATGTACATAAAGCCACGAGTGCAATTTCTGTTGTGACCACTTGTCCTGTTTTAAGGAAATCAGTTGTGTTCTCCTATTCATGATAAATCAAAATTAACCTCCAAAAAACACATGAAAAACTTACAAAAAATACTACATGATTGAATATTTTTTGAGGAACAGAAACTCCGTTGAGGGTGATTTGCCAACTTCTGATTGTTTAAATGTTTCTAATTTTAGGAAGATAAAGGAAAACAGAAAAAGAAACACATCAACAATATTACTTGAATACAGCTTTTTAGAGTGACTACAGCTGTGGGGTCTTGAGTTTTGTACCATAAGTACAACTGCAATAAATGAATTTTAAAGAATTATTTCTAACCAGGGTTACTAAAACCAAGTTTTCTGTTAATATGATGAGCATGAAGAAGATCAAAAGGTAAAAAGCAAATATTCATCATTGTTCAAATGTAACTTTTTTTTTTTTTTTTGGCTAGATTCAGTTTGATTGACAGCAATGGGATTAATTTCCAATTTAAATGTTTGCAAGGGTTATGTTTATGTGGGGAAAGAAAAAAAGGGTAAAAAAGATGGTATACCACTTGAGGTAAGCTGAGGAACTCCGTGATCAGTGGCAACAACTGTCAGAGCAACAACTGTGTCGGCTGTGATGTGGCCCAGGTTATTGCTGAGAGAGATTTCTCCAGTGCCATTATTTATATGGAAATCATCAGAATGGTTCATGAGGCTGAGTAAGGAGCAATCAGGAGAGCATTCATGTTAATGACCTTGGAAGTGCCATCTACTTACTGCTACCTCTGCAAGGAGCACTCAACAGACAATATTTGCCTATTTATACAGAGCAGCTTTTAATTGCTGTCTTTAGCCCAAAATATATTGGCCCTTTTATTTCCAGTAAGTCTTCCTTCATGAAAATGTGCAGCATTGATGCCTTCAGTTCCCATTGCACCCCAAGGCTTTGATGCTGCCAGTAGGAGAAGGCAGATCCTGCACACTCAGCTGCATATTCAGCAGTGGGAGAAGCACAAGTGACATTCATCTGAAGACCTGCTAATTCCTGGCCTTCTATGGCCTCTCATGGATAACTGGATTGCTCACAAGTGATGTGTTTCAGGTAGAATGCTGTCTTATAGTTAAAAATAACCTCTTTCAAGGCAGTAGTTCTAAACATCCACAAGTTTACTGCTCATTCGTTTGTCCTTCCCAATCTATGCTTTTCATGTCAAGGTATCCTGGTATTTTCCATGATTTAGGGCTCACAGAAATATCTCTCCCCACTGATTTTTCTATGCATAATGCATTCAGGAAGTTATTTTCTTATCTCCTCCTCCCAGCAAACAGAAGATACGTAAAAAGAGTCAGAGATTCATTTACTTCCTACCAGACACTCCAGTGTATTATTCAAAATTTCAGAAACTGATCCAAATCTTGGCTGTGGGTTTTTATTGCCAGTTTATCGTTTGGTTGTGCCCTCTTACGACATAATCATGATTTGATAAGCTGTAAAACACCCAATAATGACTGTCCTTCTTCCTAAGTATAGAAACCATAAGCGATTACAGCACTTGTAAAATATTTACGAAGAGATCTTATCCTCCTTAAGATCAATAAAAGCACCTTTCTGTGTGTCTCACAACAGGTACTTATTAACCCACAGGAGGGTACCTGTATGAAATGACAGCATTGTTGCCAAGGTCGGGGTCGGTGGCAGACACTGCCAGGACAGAGTCTCCTTCCTTTGCTGCTGCCACATGGATGCTGGCTGAGTACTGTGCCCTTGTGAACAGAGGGGGGTTGTCGTTCACATCCAGCACTCGGATGCTGACGTGTGTGAAGTTCTGGGGTGTGGCAGGAGACAAGCATGATTCAGAAAGTGCACAGGCACTTAGGTGTACAAAAAAAAAAAAAAAGGCAGCAATGATAAAGCATAACTTGGTACTCCTTACCTGCCTCTGAGGCACTCCGTTATCAGATGCCAGCAGGAGCAGCTCATACTTGTCTTTACTTTCTCGGTCTACAGAGCCAGTGACCAAAATGGTTCCATCCTAGAGAAGGCAGTGGGTCAATGCACAGATCATTTGGACAGCTCTTTTACACTGAATTCTCAGAAGGGATGAGGGATTGAAATAATCTATTCTCCTTTGGGCTAGTTCACATTCCAAGCAACACCACGAATGTCTTGTTTTTTTGAATATCAACATAGATTTCCAAGCTACAGGGCACGTGCTGGTTGTGATGTGCACTACAATGGTACTGCCTCCTCTTTTTTACCTGATGTATCTTACTGTGCCAAGTCACTTCAGGAACAGCAGGATCTAAATCTTGTTTTCAGCATACCCAGACCCTTACCTGCTGGATGCTGTATGGATTATCCCCGTCCTCAGCTGACAGGTAATAAGTAATTCGTGCATTCTCTCCCTCATCCAAATCAGTAGCAGCCACATGTCCAACTCTAGAGGGATTATTCAATGTGTATTCCCCTTCCAGAGCCTCAAAACTGTATGGCTGATTCTGAAACTCAGGGTTGTTATCATTGACATCCAGAACAGTGATGTGGAACAAGGCACTTGAATTAAGCCCATTTGTTACATTATCGACTGCCCATACCTGACAAAGTAAGAAAAAAAAAAGTCATTTTCGTTGACTGTGATATCATTTTAACCTCTTATAAAGATATAAAATGGCATTCAAGGGAAGGAAGTAGAGATGAGCCAAAGCTGCAGAGTCTCTCTCCAAATTTACTTGTAAAGTGAATCCAGATGTGGTCTCCCTGTCCAGTTCTGTGTCATTCCTTAATGAAAGTGTTCCAGGGATATCCACAGTAAATGAAGTGCTGCTGAGAATAAAATATCCCTGAGAAAAGCCAGCCTAAAAAGAAAACATTGTTCATGTAAGTTTAAAATTATTAACATTTAAGTTCAACAAATAATCTTATTAATACTAATACCGGACCTTTTTATAAGACTTCTTATTACAGATGTACAGGTGATTTGCCAGGTTTAATAAATTAAATCCTGCACCCTGAGCTATTGGAATAATAGACTTCTTTGGCAAACAGGAACTGGGATATGTGGAAGCACTTATGGGCTTCCCTGTTTGGGTCCTACACATTCTCTCTCCCTAAAGCTCTCCATGACTTATCCCTGTGATGGAAAGGGCAGCAAAACAGGGTTCAGTGGAGTATGAACGGAGCATTTACGCTGCTTTAAAACTGACATGAGCAAGAATAATTTTGCAAATCAAAAATCTCTTCCTCCAAAGCATCTCCCCAGTGCCACAGCTACATGCAAAATGTCTCTAAAAAACAAGGGGAGAAAGAAACCACTTGTTATAAAGCAGAGGGAAATTTTGTAATTTCCTTTGGTAGAAGAAACAGCTCTATCAGGGTTACAAATTGCCTCTTGCCCTGACTAAGCTGAGACTAAAGGTAAGTTCATCAAGTTTAGTTTATCAAGCAACATTCAATCAGAAACTATTATTGGTATAATAATATATAATCTATTCTCTGTCTGGTGTGATGCATACAACTCATATGCCCATTAACAGAAGGAAACACCACATCCTGTTGTGGGTCACATATGCAGTGGGAGAGAAGCTCTCTCCATCTTCTCTGATGTAGCCACTAAACTATTTTTTACAAGGTCTAAACTTCTTTGGGTTGGGAAGGTTTACTGTTGGCTCCAGAGAAAGGAAGGCAAAGTTTTTATGAAGCAAAACATACTTAGGGTCAACCATTTAAGAAATCTCCTTTTGCCCATCTATTGCTATGCTTGTTTGCAGGTTAACAGAGAAAAACATGTCATTTTGATTTATCAGGATGAGATCAATGCAGTACCTACCTCATCCTTGTCAGCAACACTGAATGTGTAGACAGGACTCCCCTTCAGATGGTTTTCAAACACAGATACATCATAAGCTACCTGACTGAATTCCGGTGGGTTATCATTGACATCTTCTACACTAACAACTACGAGTGTTTCATTGCTCATTGTTGTCTGACCTCCATCTGATGCCTGCACTTTCACTTCAAATTCCTTTGTGGTTTCATAATCCAGCTGCTGGCTCAGGCTGAGCTGGCCGGTGCTGGAGTTGACAAGGAACACCGGAGAGAGGGTTTGAGGTTGCTGGTCAGTGATTCGGTACGTTACAAGAGCATTGACCCCAGCATCCTGGTCTGTAGCAGACAGTGCCAGCAGGGCACTTCCCAGCTCCTGGTCTTCAGGGACCTTCACATGATACCTGCTCGAGGAGAACACCGGGGGGTTGTCGTTCTCGTCATCGACGACAATGGTCAGGTCGAGCGCTGTAGATCGCACGGGTTGGCCTTGGTCACTGGCAATCACAGTTAAGTTATAGAAGCCTTGTTCTTCTCTGTCCAGCACCTTTTGCAGGAAAATCAATCCTGAACTGTCAATATCCATTTTTCCTTCTCCACCCTTCAGGCTGTAAACCACGAATCCGTTGAAGCCTTCATCCACGTCTGTGGCCGACACGCTGGTGACGTTGGTCCCCGCTGGCGTGTTCTCCATGATGACAATGGTGGTGTTGGGTGTACCAAACACAGGGCTGTTATCATTGACATCTGTAACTCTGATAAACACCGTGGCATAGTCAGCAGTGCTTCCATCTGACAAGGAAATATTGAGAGTGTAATTTTTATGGGATTCGTAGTCCAGTTTGGTTTGGGTTGAGATGACTCCCTTGTCATCGATGGCAAATGAAGCAGATTCCGTCAGCACTCGAAACTCAAGTATGTGGGGATTTGAAGCCTCATACTTGACCTGTGTAAGATACAGCATATCATCAATAAATGAATTAAAACACTGTCTGAAAAAGAATAGCCATTTTAACTATGTCCAGACTAATTTTATGGTTGATATTGTGGATTGATATCAACTTCCAGTTGATACCATGTCCTCATTTTTACTTCTTCTAATGAATTTTCATTCAGATACTTGTTAACTCCCCAGATTCTTTAAAAGAAGTAAAGATCAAGCCTCAATATACATAAAAATGCAGAGAGGACTGCCTTTTATTAAAACACGAATATGTATAAAGCAGAATAAAAATAACAGACTGCACTTTAACCTTTGGTTCTGCCTTTCTTTACAGGAAAAAAGGGGGGAAATTAACTCAAGATGTCTATAAATCAAAACACTAAAACACATTACCTTCTCACTGCTTTGATATGAAACCTTCCATGTGTGTTCAGACTTTCATCCAAGGAGTTATCATGGCGCATTCTGGTGCTCTGCTTTTCTGAGCATTTTTTTGGATCAAAATGAAGAGCAAGTTCTAGAGTGTTCTTTGAAAATGCCTTTATGACATTCCTCTGATGGGAATTCTCATATCACAGGGTTTTAGGTTTATCACCAAGAGATGAGGAAATATTGCCTATCCCTGGCTTTGAGCCACTAAACCTTTGAAGGTGTAGTCAACAGAGGTCTATGCACAAAAGTTTACTTTCTCAAGCAGTTCAGGTGTTCATTTATTTGATTTGGAGAGCTGCTTTGGGGTTTTTTTTGGGTTTTTTAAATGCTAAATGGTAGCAGATGCTGTTTAAATAATTGCAAAGGTTTAACTGGAAGCAAACCCACCTTTGTGGGTGATCGGCTTCATCTGAGGGATGTACTGCATGTGAAGCTTGTTCTGTAGAACACACAGTATCTAGTCCTCCATAACTCAGGGAGATTTGGATATTTAGAGCACATCTCTTACAAAATTAGGACTTTCTTAAAGCTGCCCTGTCCTATACAGAGATAGAATAGAGTTCTTCTTACTTGTGCTACTTCAACAGGAGGATCCAGCTCTTCTTCCACAGACACACTGTATGTTTTCTGAGTAAACTGTGGTCTGGAATCTCCAAATACATTGATTTCTACTGGCACTGATGAACTTCTTGGAATGGTCCCACCTGCAAGCAAAAGGAAACAATTTCTTAGCAGATGCACAAAATACCTACTGATCCCCCCAAAATACACTTTTCTCTGGGTACTGCCTTTTTATTAATATTTAATCCTTGGTGCTGTTCTTATGGTACTGCCTCAGAGGTCCTCACCAAGCCCACAGACAAAGGATGGACTGAGCAATCCCTTTTGTACCCATATTCCCCACAAGACCCATTTTATTCATGTGAGCCTAAATTTGAAGACACAGAGCTCATATTGACCAAATAATGTGAAAATCACAAGGCTGAAAACCACTTTGTATTCTCATTATACCAGGAGTGGGATGCCATTCCTAGGTTACATGTATTTCTGCCCTTATTGGGGTCATGAATGTTCACTGAGTTCTCTTTTATTTTTTTAAAACAATGACACCCCAAATAACTATGGATAATGAAATGCTGTTCATCCTAAAAATGGACTTGGCATTCCCAGTTTACCCACATGGATAAACTGGGGATGCAAATAATGCCCAAATTGGGGTGCAAATAATGACCAAATTACTCAGCACATTTTACTCTCCTTTTACTCCTTATTGACTGATGAGAGAGTTTTATATGTCTGATTTCTGCCTGAATTTCTGTTTCCTATGCTGTGCAACACCAGTCAGTAAGTTAAAGAAAGGTGTGATTGTATTTATATATATATAACATTATATAAAATTATTTTATATATTATTATAGAAATATGATTACATATATTAAAATGTGATTTTATATATATATATATATATATATATATATATAAAAATATGTTATTTCACATGTTCTTCCCACAGCCATCAAGAAAGCAGACTTGCTATAATGCCATCAGCAGGAATAGTTTTACCAGAGATGCAGCAATCACTTTGGATAAATAAGACAGTTTCTTATCTTCAACAAACAAGAGCAGATAAAATATATGGTATTATTTGAACAAAGCCTGTGAACCTATTTGACAGCATTCCTTCAAGTAAAAATCAAACAAAACCAAAACTCATCACCAGGAATAGCTGCATTGACCGGTACTAAAATCCCCTCTTACCATCAGTAGCTGTTATCCACAAGACAAACTTCTTACGCTGGTCAATTCCTAATGGGATTACTGTTTTTAAACTGATTTGTCCTGTGGATGCATCCAATTCAAAGTGTCCATCTTCATTGCCACCAGCTAAGATGAAGCTTATCTCTCCATTTATACCATCATCTGGATCAGCAGCAGCAACCTGGAGGAAAAAAAATTATTTTACTCTAGGTTCTGTGCTTTCATCAAATTTTCTCCCATTTTAGATGTACAGAAAAATCAGATAAATATTGCTGCAGTTAAATTTGGTTGTACCTTTGACTGTCCACTTCCTATTTAATTCCTGGGTTAAATCTCAGTAACAAAGTTTGCTCTTGGATGCATACACATGATATCATTCCAGCAGCATGAGCAAAATCCTGCTCCTGTGGAACTCATGTGAATTACACCAGGTTTGTGTCTCAGATAATTAATTTCATAACAATTCCAAAGGCACTGGAGGGAGATTGTTCCAGAGATTTCATCAGGAGCAATGAAATCTGCACATCTGGGTATAAGCATTGATAGTGCCTCTCTACAGATCTCAACTCCTCTTTCCTGTTTTATTTGGTTAACTGGTTTACTGTGTTAGAAAAAGTATATTGGATCTAAAATTATTCCTAATGCTCCAGCATTCAGCAGCCTTTCAAAAATGTTTTGCCCTTATTTAAGTTCCTGGACTCTAACAACATTCAGTTTTTACTAAGCACTTTACAACTAAATTCAAGAATCTCATTTTCTATCATATATTTGTGGAATTGAGGCTGGTGCACAGTATAAAAATCCTTTATAATTTATTCTGCGATCTGGGATGTGATTAAAATATCCAGGACACTGTGATTATGGAATATCAGTTGCTCTGAAATGAGAGGTGGATCGTTTCTGAACTGGGAGCTGTTCCAAAGAGATTCCCTACTCAACAGAACTGCTTCACAAGTCTAAGCAAGGACTCATACGTGCATTCCACTCAAAAATGTCATTTTTGCTCAGTATTTCTAGTACCTGAAGAATGTCCATTCCTGCAGTCATGTTGAGGAAAATGTCTCGTCTATATGGTGTGCCTGTAAAGGCTGGGCTGTTGTCATTTTCATCCAGCAGCACTATGTTGATAGGAGAGCTCACATTTCGGTGAGGTGGCAAATGATCTCTAGCAGTCTCCTGCAAAAACGAGGCAGTGAGAAAGAAGACTGTGTTGTTCAGAGGAGTGTTGTGGAAGTGTAAAAAGGATGAATGAGAATTACAAGCTGAGGAAGCTGTTTCAGCAGTGGTATTTCCCTCCAGATAACATTGCTGTCAGAGTCTGGATTTGTTTCTTCAGTTAAGCTGCTGATCCCTACTCAAGGTTCGGCCTCCTGCCAGGACAGATGAGGTCTCACCTGTTGGCCTCAGGTTACCTTGGAAAGGAGCTGGCTTGTTTTTAATACCTGTAGGTGGATGGAGGGTACTCTCTCCCTGTCCAGCAGCGTGGAGTTCCTCACAGTTAGGATCCCAGCTGGACTCAGCTGGAAGGGACTGTCATCTGGAGTGAGACTGAGGGTTCCCTGGAAGCCTCCCTGCAAACAAGAAACACATTTGTCATTAAACAGGACAACCACTGAGCTACTCCCTTAGGATGCTTTCTTCTTGTTTTCCACGTGGAGAAGATGAAATCTCCTGGTTTAATTGAGATTACAGTTCCAAAAAAAAAAAAAAAAATCCCAAACCAAAATTAAAAAAAGAGAGAAGCAAACAACAAGGAAGAAATAACAAGCAGGCTGAGAATGACTTGCAGCTTTGTGTTGATTTTGCACTTCTGCACTTCCAGATTTGGGACCTCATGCAAACCAGAGGAGATCCAAAGAGAGTCAAAATTTATTCTTTGTCTGCAGTACTCTACCCCTTCAAGAAGTGAAACTAAGTTTGCTTTGTTTAAGCATATTTAGGCAGTCAGAAAAAAATTTCTATTCACAATAGTTGTATAACACAAATGCATTTTATATTATATTTCAGAAGTGCAGCACTTGTAGCAGCCATAAAACCATCATCTTTTTACCTCATCTTTGTCAGAAGCTGTTATTTGAAGAACTTCCATCCCATTTGGGAAATTTTCTGGAAGTGAGACATCATAACTTGGTTGTGACAGTACTGGACTATTGTCATTTTCATCTCCAATAGTAACCAGAACTACTGCATCAGCTGTTTTGAAAATCTTGTCTTGCTGAGCTGCCTAGAAAACAGAGTTTACAGCTGTAAATTCCACACCCTGATAACAACAAGCTTAACACAAGGACATGACAACTGAATATTTACAATTAATTACTTGTTCCTTTATTTTGATTTTTGGATGGAGCCTTGATACCAATGACTATGAGAAAGGCTGTTAACAGCAACTTGGATTTACATATTATTTTCTGAAATTGAGACTGAAATACCAAAACAATCTCTACCTGAATGCCCACCACTAGGTTTGGACATATTTCTCTGTCAATTGAGGTCTTGACTTCCAAAACTCCAGCATCATTGATTGAAAAGCTGTTATTATAGGCTGGGGGGTTCACTGAAAAGCAAAAAATTGGGAAGGGTTAATGAGAATGAACCAGAACTGGAAGTCTGGTCTGTCCTTTGTATGGGTGTTAACTTCTCAGCCACAGGAAAAAGGAACATGAAAGGCTGTTTTTCAAATACTCTGTCCTCAAAACAACTCCTGAAAAATACACTTCAAGGGTCTCAAATTAAGCATTTCATAAACTTCTGGCAATTTCTTCAGGAGGAGGCACAGCTCCTGATGGAATTATCTGTCTAGATGATCCTGAATGGAAATTCTTTGTTCAAATTGAAGCATCTAGAGTGGCTTACACTTGAAATCAGGAATTGTTTTTTGTTCCTTGAAAGGAGGGTAAGAACAATCAACCATTTTAGAAGCAGCTGGACCCCTCAGTGATGACTGAGATCAGGCTGATTTAGCTTGTGGAGCAGCTCTGCAGTGAAGCTGTGGGCACTTCAAGACATCTGAATGGACCCTGCACTTCCTTATCATTCCCTCCAGCAACAGGTAAATGAATCATGCTGAATTACCGTGTCAACATCTAGAAAAAAAATAAAGGCTCTTACCTAGCTTGATGCTGTAAATTATTTTTTCATTTATACCTTTGTCTCCATCTTGAGCCAAGACCTCTGGGAGAACAGCCAGAGGACCCACCTAGAAAACATACATTAACCTGAATATCTTGAAAAAAACCACACATTAACTTCAAATCTTTCCTTAGCCAAGTCACAGTTTTGATTAAAGAAACAAGAAACAGTTATTTAATTAATGTGATCCAGAAAAAAATTTCTTTCTTTGCCATATGTGCTTTACAGAGGAGAATGATGACCAAGATACTCAATGGATACATTTTGTTTAAGAAACACCAGATTATGAAGCTGCAGTCACAGATGGAATTTATGTTAAGAACATTGACTATTTCAGTTCCATTTCTTTCCTGGAAAACAACACACAAGTCTATACCGTAGTCCTTATAAAAACAGTAATTTAAAAGATAAAAACATTTTAGAAGGGCTAAAATTATTCCTTTCAGAGAATTAGAGATGAACTTCTAACAAAAGGAACACTGGAGGTCTAACACTAAAAGTATCTGTGATTTAAAATGCATTAACAGGAAGATAATGACATAGAAATAGGGATAATAATGAACTTTTTAATTTTAGTGGGTCACACTGATAAAACTATACTGTTATTTTTTTTTTCAGAATACGTACAGAAACCTGAGTCAAACAAATACATTTCACCAAGAAATCTCTACTCTATGTAGGAAAAAAAAAGTTACAAAAGTAATACAGACCATGGATTGCCATTCAGATCCTTATTTCTACTTACCTGATTGTAATGCTGTATAAATGAATTACACTAATTAAAACTAATTTCAGGACTGATGGACAGCCAGTTGCCCTTTGAATTTTACATTAAAAGATCTTTTAAAACAGGAATTTGGGGTTTTTTTTTTCCTTTTCTTTCTTCTTTTTTTTAAGATTTTTCCCCAAAATACAAAAGAATGTGCTTCTATCACAGAAAATTCTCTGCTTCATATAATGCATGGCCTGTTTATCTGGGAGTTGGAGATCTACAGCTGATATCTTTTTCACTGCTCAGCACAGAGGAAAGCAGCTCCACCCATCTGAAGCTGCTCAGAGGAAGAATCCTTGGAAGAAAAGCCCTATGGATAGGGATAACAGCAGCATTCAGTGAAGAGCTTTTACCTGGTTTTCACTGATATTCCCATTGTATGTGGATTGACTGAAATAGGGGTTCAATGTATCATAATCTTCCACATTAATTATTAGTGATGCAGTGGCACTCTGGTCTCCAAATTTTTCCTGCATCCCAAGGGAAAGAAGAAAATAAGAACAACTGTCTTGAAAAGAAAAAACATATCTCAGTGGAAAATACAGCAGAATATTATTACATATATTTTGCAGCATTTTTAACCTGAGAACTCTCAGCCTGTCAGGTTAATCCAGTTCTAGAAACAAAACTATCCATGGGTAATCTTCCTTTAGTTCTCATTTTCCATCAGAAACATAGAATATAGAATAGACCATTTGCTACATCTGTACTATTTTCTAGGTACCACAATAATCCTAGCAAAACTATTTCTTTTTAGTTCTAAAAGGTAATGAAGGCAAATACATACTCAAATCTAAAAAAAAAAAACCAAACAAAAAACCTGGTAAGCTGGTAAGATGCAGCAAAAGTCTGAGAGATCTGCCAGAATGAATATGTGAATGAATATATGTTACAGTAGTGGAGAATGAATATGTACAGTATTTATACGTAGAGAAATACAGAAAGAAACTTGGGCTGGTATTTGAGAGGAAACAATGGCTGAAATATTAAAAATGTGCTACTTTGTCTCCAGTATAAACCAAGTTGCAGGCACAACATTTGGATTGGGAACTCTCAAAGCTGTAGAAAGTGGGATGCTATAAAACAAAGGAACTATCATTGTAGAACTATTGTGGGTATAATTCTTCTTTTAATTTGTATCTTACCTTTGCTTGGACTGTTAAATTGAAAAAGCTGACCTCGTTGTAATCCAGTGGTTTTTTCACCATGACGTTTCCATCTCCTTCCCTTATAGAAAAGTAATCAGAGTTTGGGCCCTATTAAGTGAAAAAATCAAATATTTTATATGACTGATGATTAAATACATTTTCTTTTCCCTTTTTTTCACCTTTCCTATTGGGCTATTTTCATAAAGGTGCAGCAATGTCTCAGCCATCACCAATGGAAAGAAAAAGGCAAATCCTCCTCCACACATGCCTCCCCTCTCAGTGCCAATAGAATTTCTATCTGATTTATCTTATCCTATGGCACACAGGGGAATGGCACCAGCTTCCCTTCACCAGCAATAAAAGGAGCAGAGACAAGCTCAGATGTGAAGATTTCCACTGCAGATATCTTACTTCAGTTGCCTGGAGGACTGGAGACCGACAGCAAATCAAACATAAACTTTAAAAAGAGGGGAAACAGCTCTCCCTCCTGCTACTGCAAAGGACCACTGAGTTCCTTGGCTGTAGCTGAAGAGTGCCATAAATCATTCCACAAATGTTAAGAAACAAGATTCAGGCCTCACTGCCTGCCAGGCTGATCCTGTGGTACAATTTGAAAGGTCTCTTGGGAGTTTTGCAGATTTTTAATCTTCACAGTGCAAGGGAGCACGCTGGGATCAGGTCCCAGGCTGTGGATCTGTGAAATTCAAACTGGTGTTCACAGCTCCTAACTAACAAAGGGCACTCACCCAAAGACTGTAAGTCAGGATGCTGAATTCTGGTGAAATGTCCTTATCCTCAGCTTCCACTTTTACAACTGTGGAAGTAATTCCAGCAACCTAGGAGGAAATAGAGATCATCAAATACTCAGTCACAAGCCCCCATCCACATCCTTCTTAACTTGGGGCAGGAAAGTTGTGCCACCTGCTTAGCAAATCACTTCCTGTTGCCATTTTTTCTGTTGCCAAATATTCCTGTCTGGGAATGTTTCTCCGTCACCCCACTCTCCCAGCTGTATGTGCAGCCCAGCCTTTCCTATCCACCCGCATGGGATGCAGCAGAAAAGTCTCATTAGGGTGCACGTGAGGAACTTATCTCAGTGTGGTCACATTAGAAGCACCCCAAAATGTAATTTACAAATATCCCAGGAAAAAAGTATCAGCATTTGGCATATCCCACCTCTGATACTGAAGCACTGTAATTGGCTTGTTGGAATTCTGGAGCATTGTCGTTTACATCTATCAATTTTACATTCCGTCCGTTCTCTATCTCGTCAGTCTGGGTAGTGGAAGAAATGACAACAGTGAGGTGGCAGCACTCTGCTAACATTTAATTTCATCTAGAATGAGATCCTCAAAGAGACACCCTTTCGTTAAACTACCGTTTAGAATTAGACTACCATTCCTAAAATTAACTTTTTAAGGTTTACCTTAGTTTTCTGTGAACAAAAACACTCCTTTCAATCAGCAGACTTCAAGAGGTTATGTTCTACAAGGTACTCTGAACTCCCTGCATCATAGCTTTCAATTAAATAGTATTGCAGAAAATAATCATTTGCATTAAGTTAGACAATAAATACAGTTAATAAAGCATAGTTTGTACTCACTGTTCCAATCCTTTGGCAAACAACAGAATACCAGATCATATCACCCTAAAATTGAACAAACAAGCCAATAAATAATATACTCTATGAACTAATGATATGATTATCAAAGATAATTTTTACCCAAATGATACAAAATTACTTCTAGTACTTGAATCCTCAGGCGTGCTGCACCAAAACACTCTGCTTAAAATTAACACTTTGTAATTACTTTGCTCTATATTATAACGTTTATTGCACTGCCATTCCTCTACTACTGATACCCACCTACCCAGACCCCACCATCCCCCTTCACCTGACTGCTCTCCCCCAAAAAAAGTTGACAGAGAATACAGGAGAACATGTTCAAGAAGCATAAAAAGTGTTTCAATCCATTTGGGAAATACCCAAATGAGAAATGCAAATGTAAAAAAAAAAAAAATCAAAAGTACACTTTCATCCATTACAAACACTGTTTGTAACTGTTTTTTACAACATGCCTGGTCCATGTCTGTCAGGTACAGTGCTTCTCTGAGATGGCAGTGTCCAAAACACAAATCCAGTGCTACTCTGAAATAGTACTTGTATAATAAATTGTCTCTATTTACTCTGCAGTACTACACCATTTTCATATTCAGAAGCAACATCAGCCAGGCAAAACACTGATATTGCTTTCTAAATTCCTGGTAATCCTCCAGAGCAAGAACTGCCTAGGAAGAAGGATCTATCCCAAAAACCCATAAATCCATTAGTGAGTGAAGTGCTTATGATTCAGGATTACCTTTTACCAAGTTACATCTGCTCAATCTCACTTTGATGAAGTAACTCATGCCCCTGAGAGGTGAGTTGTAAGGCAAGTGGCACTCTCATAATGCATGTTTACAGCTCTCAGTACAATACACCACTAGGAAAGAACCTGTCTGGCTGTCAGATGACAGGAAAGTTGAGTTATAGGAAACTGAAACATTTAACAGATATTAGTGAGAGGTAGATACTGAATTCTATTCAGACAAATCACTTTTTTGAAATACCAACCTGTATTGTGAGAGAATGAACAATTAAAATGCATTATCTTAATGCTATCTCTTTTTCACTTGTCAAGAAAACTTTTCTCTCTAGGTTTTATATGCAGTAAAAATAGTACCTCAAGCTCCTCAACATCCAGTGCCCTTCTAGTTCTCACAGTTGCATTGCTAGATTGAGAATCAGTTACCAGCTCTACATATTTCAAGTGTTCAGGGAATACATATTCTTGTAATTTCAGATGCACATTGGGTGGGATATCTGTAATCCATTCTATAACACCTGTAAGAGAAAATGGAACCAAATTAGACTGCTTTATGAAAAAGAAATCCAAAGGTTCATTTCATATGTATTGATAACTTGATTACTGGTGAATTTTGGTTGCATTTTATATGATTTTGGCATTTTTAGCTAAACTGTAAGATCTGTTAAAGACCGCTTAAGTACCCTGCACAAGTGTATTGATGTGTTTTTAAAACGACATAAACCAAATTTTTCCAATATATACACACAATGTATCCAGAATTAAGAAGCTTGGCATAATTTTCACCTACATTTCCACCATTTTTTTGAAAATAGCTTTATGCTGTAAAACTTTTTTTCCCCACGTTTACTGTGAAAATGTAATCAAAGTCAGCCAAAATCTTTGAGAGGCTGCATGGGGTCACTTTCAGTATTTTCCAAACACAAAGGCCTTTCATGTATTTCAGCTGGATCTATCAGGCAGTAGAATCCAGTGTGAATCTGGACTCAGGTGGAAAGTGTGTGGCCTTTCCCTTAATGTGTTCCTGTTTGTAAAAGGACACAAACACAAAATGCTGCAACTTTCAAATCAATTCTTGTGAGATTTTCTACAACCTTGCGTTTAGGAACTATCCTCCTGAAAATATGATGACTTGTTATTTGTAATGATCAGGATTCCTGTTACACTGACTGTGTACTACTTGCCTGGTTAAATACCAAATCTGTTTGAAATTGCTTTGGAAATTTATCCTTTTAAACCACCCAGCATGGTGTTATTGGCAATTTTATTAAAGAAAGTTCCCTTACTCACATCAAGACATCTGTGTTTATGTAATCACACTTATCTTCTCATGGAACACATTATCTGGATTGCAAACCCATAATCCCCTCTCCTTTCCAAAGTCTTCCCTGAACAGCCCAAATATTTTCCATGATCTTCAGGAAACTTCCAAGCTGTGTTTCTTCCTTATCCACTAGTTTTGTACCCCATCACTACTAGTTTAGGTTAGTAAATGCTTTCTGTTACAGTCCCATCTCTAATCTCCATGCACAGCCTTGTGCTCTTGGTCTCCAGGTGTTTCAGGAATATAACCTCATCTTCTTCCAGCAGCAGGGAGTGTCTGGAATGCTGTCAGCCAGCAGCCCAGAGACACTGGATTTTATTTGTGTGTGAGGACAAAGTGCAGTGAGCTGACAGTGAGCAGGGCTGGGTCTCAGGGGCACAGCTTTGTGTGGTGCCACCCTGCTGTGTGCAGTGCTGAAAACCCACCAGGAAAACAAAATCCAGCTTTGCCTGCTGCCATAGGCTGTCCAGTCCTCCATGCAGAGCTGGATATATTCAGCCAAGAAATATCAAGCAGCTGCCTGGCAAACAGCATTCCCACCAGAGGAGAAAGCCAAATAAAAAGAAGTAATGGGGGAAAATTAAAGCTGATTGTCCCTCTTGTTTATTCATCAGATATGTCAGCAGATTCATTCACACATACAATGCACACAGAAGGCCGGAGTTCTTGCTGGCTGATTAAAAATCAAATGGAATCAGAGTGAAATGTAGTTATCCTCCTTTCTTACTCCATGCAAGAGTCAGACACAGCAGCTAAGCTTCTACAACTCAAAAAGAAATGTTTCAATAGTGATTGTAAAAAAAATCCACTGCTCTGGATCACTTTTGTTTTCTATATATTGTTGAAAGCCAGAAGCAGTGAAGTTTGCCTGTGGACAGTCAGCATGAGATCCTAAGGGTTATGACACATCCCAAAGGGAAAGCTTTGGCCATAACTTAATGCTTTGCCTTGTAAAACTGCTGGATATCCATTAAGGACATAAAATACTGGCTGGACAAGGTGAACTGAGAACATTTTCTGCACTCATTTTCTTTCCCATTGCCTGCTGTGCCTATTCACACAAAGAGATCCTTGGATCAGGGAATTTGGAGGGTCATGTTTATTTATCCCACTAAGCAGTATTTCATGTAGGCAGCTGCTGCATCCAGCCATGGACACTGCTGTAAATCAATTAATAATACACACTCATTATAAAATCCACTGACTACGGAGGCAATAAAGTGCATTTGGGAGGAGATCAGACAATTCTAGGTCAGAATCTTGATTTTACCTGTATATCCATCCAAAAAGCTTGAGAGCACCAGTGGACTGGGTGGTATATCACAGTTGATAGTTGTGACTTCTAAAAAGAAACAGAAATGTCACATACAAAGAACACAGAGGGACTGTGTCCAGAAATAGAAGAAGGCAAATAAGCTGATGCTATGTAAACCCAGATGCACACAGGGGTTCAAATTAAGCTCCAAGGCTTTTATCATGGTGGCACCTTGAAGGGTTTAAAGCAATACCTGACAGGGAGTAGGCAAACACTGGTGTCCTGGAGCCAATCTAGAACTTTACTGCCTGACAGGAGTGAGTCACTGCTCAATAGTGTCCTGATGAACCGTTTGTGGAAATCGTAATCGAAACTACTCTTGTACCTTGGCCCTGAAATTGTTTTCTGCTCCCAAGGCAACTACAAACACAAAGCTACTCCCCACAGAAACAGCAGCAAGAATCCAGGAGCTTTTTACCTAAAATTTAATCTGCTTAAACTTTTAGAGAAGGAGCCCTTAGGGAGTATATTTTTTGTTCATGAGAAGTGGCTTTCCTAAGTGGCTTCTTGTACCTCAGTCACCTCTCCACATTTTCTCTGTGTGACAAAAGTGACAGACTTTTTTTTTTAAATCATTAAGGTCTGCAAACTATACACACAAAAATCTGCCAAAGCTTTCCCTCCTTCCCTGACTAGAATTCAGCAGCAAAGCTTCCAGAGTGCAAGCCATGCTCTTACAGATTGCATCTTGCACTCTTACCTGTGCAGCTCTTGTGGTCTTTATGTGGGTTTGCAGCAATGCTAAGAATGTCCCTACTCCTTGTCCTTGCCATCCTAATGGATACTCAAAAGGACATTTGGTATAAACAAGTAAAGGGGTATTTTCCCCTGGCTAGGTAGCTGCCTTCATATCTGCATCACTTCATATGATCTCATTTATAAGTGAGCAGATTTCTACACAAGTCACCAAATAGACTCCTAATGACTACTTCTAGTCAGCAGCTGCTGGTTCTAGGTTTAATTCACCACCTCAATCTCTGAGTATGCCAAAGCCTAGGCTCTGGAGCAGTGAAAAAGATAAAAATTTGGCTGTTTTCACTTTCAGGAAGCCTCAATATATCAAACAGAACTTCAAGTGAAGTACTTATCACTGTGAATAGCAGAAGTAACAATGGTAACTACTCCAATCTAATTTAGCTCAGCAGCAGCAAGGAATTCAACTGATTCCAACTTTAAAATTATCCATCCTCAGACTCAGCTTCAGCCTAGGTATTTAAATTATAGACTACTGCAGATACAAAATAATCAAAACCCCCAAAGTTAAAGAAAACTTGTACAAACCCTTGTATATACAAGAGCATGGTCTTCACCTGTCCATCACTCAGTCCATGAAAGCCCAAACACCACTTCCAAGGGCACCAAGATTGCTTGTTTAGAAATTATTTTGTCAACAAATCAAAGCATTTGAAACTTCTAGGTTTGTGACTCGTATGAATTTAATAAATTAAATTTTGTTCCATTTCAATAAAAGCAGTAAAATAGTCAGGCATTTATAAACATAACAATACTCACTTTGTGCATCGAGACAGAGGAACGTAACCCAGCCAACCACAGCAAAAACCAGAGCTCTGGAGAGAGCCATGAGCACTGCAGGAGAAATATCCAGCTCAAGGCAAAACCAGATGGTTGTTTCTCATATGGAATACTAGCAAAGAATCATTTCATTTGCCATATCATAGGTTAGTTATTGTCCTGACAAGTGCTTCACCAAGAACCAGGCAGAAGACTGGAATAAGCCTCTGAGAGCACGCCACAAATTATATAATGTGCTTATCATCCTCAGCTTGTGAGATCAAAGTCCTTCTGGGCAATAAAAAATAAACCAACAAGGAAACCCACATTTGTGCTGTGACACAAAACGTGACAAGTGCCTTTTTATTTTAACTTTCCAATTGAGAATAAATTAGCAAGGTGTCCTGGCCAATGTGAGAGAAATGTGCATATTCCCTGGGAAAGGAAATTAATGGGGTGTGTCAGGAGGCAAAGGGACCAGCACTGCCCCTTTTGATCTCGTAGTGATGGCAGAGTATCTTCACAGAGCTCTGTTCCAGAAGGAATAAATCCAGAATTCCTCTTTGAAAACTGGTTACTATTTGATGTGATGAAAGCAGACACCTCTGAAGCATGGCTAATATTTTACAGGTACTACACACTGGAAATAAGTTCAGCAGGCAGCTAAAATATTTTACTTCAATTATGTTACCTAAAAATCCCCAACCAAAACCACCAATATTTTAAGCTTGTAGAGAACTTCAAAGACTACAAACAATGGAAACAAACTACATGACTGATTGTATCACTTGCAGGTAAATATACCTTGAATTGGAAGGAGCAACTGAATACACAGCAGGGAAAATGCTGCCAGCCCAAGGTCTTTTTGTGATTGTGCCAGCATGTTTAGTCATTGTGAACACTAAAGTAATCACTGTAGGCTGAATGAGAACACAAAATGCAATAAAATTGCATAAAACAACTAAAAATAAAATTACCATTATGCTGTCCTAGCCTTGAATAAATGAAACATGGGAGCAACTCAAGCAGAAGCAATTAAATACTAGAAGAAGTTCAAGCATGGGCACCATGTTTTTTGAACAAAGGCCACATGCAGCAGGTGATTATGCCTTCAGTGGTGTTATTTATTGCTGGTGCCAATCTCAGGTAGGTAATTTTCCTCCTGGGTTTATGTTTTCCCATATCTACAATGGCCAAGCCTTTGCAAGTTCATGTGGCAAAGGAGGAAGGCAGGTCTGTGCACAAAATGCCTCCTGTGAAGAAGAAAAAGGAAAAGAAGTTCCCTTACCAAATTCACCAAACACCTTCAGGCTATCACAGCCAGGCCAGAGTCTACATAAACTGATATTTGTACCAAGAAGTTCTAGCAACACATCCTCTTGACCACTGGGAACATTAATGTGCTGGATGCCTTACTCCACTAATAAAGGCCTACTTTTGGATATCCCAAAGCAGAGGGAAGGCAATGCAGCCTCAGTGTTCTCTGGGAGCTCTCTTAGCAAGAGGCCCCCAGAGAGCAGAAAGTTCAGCCATTAGAGATAGCATGAGACCGTAGAGGACCAAACTCCAGCAAGATCTGCCAGATTATCCATGGGGAAGCAGCCAAAAGCTGAAGGAGGAAGGCCCCTAGTGTACACAAACCCCTACAGGCAGGTGTAGGATGAAAACTGCTGCCAAGATGCAGCACGACTCTGTTAATTCTCTCCTTGGAAGCTGCAACAGTGGTTTTGCTGTGAGGGTCTCAGTACAAAACAACAAAAGCCCCTCCAAAAACTTGGCATTCAATGCCCCTGTGATTCCCAGAGTGCAGGAGCTCACAGTCCTGTTAAACTTTGCAGTTGCTGTAAACGGGCTGATGGAGCCTTCAGCCTCCACCATGGTGCTGCTCAGAGGCAGGATGAGCCCCTGACCTCAGCCACTCTGTGCTGTCATTTGGCCTCAAGCCTGGAAAAGCCTTTGGCTGCTTCTATTTATAGATACAGCCAGAAGGGGATTCAGCAGTGAATCTATTCCTATGACGAGATAAATTTAACTTGAGTCAAGTCTACTTTATCTCCTCAAAAATGGGACTCGATTGTGGAGGTCTTTTATAACCCAAAGAATTCTGTTATTCCCTAATTATTAAGAAATAGAGAAAAAAGCTCAGAACACAGTGGTACAGTTCATGAAGGCTAGTTTTCACTGAGCTGCAGAAGGAATGCCTGCAGGGTCTGTGCGTGCTGCTCTCTTAGACATCAGGAGTCCTCAAAAATGGGACTCAATTGTGGAGGTCTTTTCCAACCCAAAGAATTCTGTTATTCCCTAATTATTAAGAAATAGAGAAAAAAGCTCAGAACACAGTGGTACAGTTCATGAAGGCTAGTTTTTCTGAGCTGCAGAAGGAATGCCTGCAGGTTGTGCGTGTTGCTCTCTTGGACATCAGGAATAATTTCAGGTGTTACACTGGCCTGGAGTGGGGAGGGAGGTGCCTAAATGGAAGCAGAAATTTCATATAGTGGCTCAAGCAAGCATCTGATGCACAGGAGCAGCTTCCCAACACAATCCCATATGTCTGAGCACTCAACAAGAACAGGAAACAATGATTTTTAAAACATTGATTCCCTTCTGGCCAAGAGGAAGGTGTTACTCAGTCACATCAAACATGCCCATGCTATTCACAGACTGAGGCGACCATATGTCCACACTTCTCCTAACACAACATCTTTTTCCCTTGGAGCCAACACTGAATTTAAGATTCTGTCCTTTTCTCCAAGAGACAGGAGCATCCAGGAGACAGGCACAGCTCCAGAGTGCAGTAAGTTCATTTATACCCACGTGTGACAGCAGGATGTACACTGCAGCCTGCTCAATATCCCAACTGCACAAATACAGGACATCCAAGACATCCACACAGCAATTCCTAGAAACAGAATTGTGGAAATTAATTGTATTCACAGCTTTAACAGATTGCACCCTTTAAACAATCTGCACTGTGGCAGTGCAAAGCAAAATGATATGTTTTTTTAAACATAGCTTAGTCTGACATTTTGCATACTTGGGTCAGTTGTAGTGCAGCTCACTGAGGAATTTTTAATCCAGCTTCAAAACTTGATTCAGATAAAAATTCTTTAAAGTTCTTGTAGATTTGGAGTAGCTCTGCATTTAATGATATCCCGTTCTTGACAGATAAAAAGCCTGCATGAGGATGCTGCAATTTAATCACAAATACACATGCATGATTGAGACCATCAAACAATGTATCTATGCACATACTTAGCTCTTAAAAGCATCTATAAAAAACTCACACACTTCTTAAATTAATAATGTTTATTTCCATTAAACCAAGACAAATGTTCAAAATTAATACAAGAAAAAAAATTCAAGGTGGTTGGCATGGGGAAAAAAGATAACACTGCACATCATGTATATTATTTGTATAGGCTCAAAAATATTTTTGAGTGAAACAATACTGGCATGAAGAACTGGCACTTCCCCACAGAACAAAACCAGCAGAATTTTCCTTTCTCTTCTAGTCAGTAGTTCTATGAAAACTAAACACACACACATGCAGCCTGCAACTTTCACCCCAGGTTTACCATGGGAATTTGGAACAACCCCCTATCAGAAGTCACAAAATCATAGCAAAACACTTTTTCTACTGCATTTTTCATACCTGATGGGTTTTATAATACTTGCAACAAACAACAATCAGTTTTCCAACATTGACTACAAGTGCTTCAAACTGCATTAGTACTTGCAAACAGGCTCGAGGCATTCACAAAACCTTATTTATTGGATAACAGATTAAAGCACTCCTGTAAAGTTACAGCTCCTGCCCAAAATCAAAACCACTGAAATCCAGTTTTGCTTGTTGGTTTCACTGGGCTCCAAATTTGCTACAGCATTGGACAAAACACACAAGTAACACTGATTTTTAATTGTTTCAATAAAAATCTTCCACCTTGACAGCAGTATTTTCAAGTATTGCTATCCTAGTCTTCTAACACCTACTGAAAATCATCAAGAAACAAGACCAAAAAAAAAAGCCCAAATAGAGAGAAGAGCATTTAAAAAAAATTATGTCCCTCTCCTTACCCCACCCCACCCTCCCACCCAGGAACTTGCTGACTTAATTCCAAACTCACAATTTATTGTACAGCCAGGAGTTGGAATAAGCTTTCCCTGAGCTCTCTTTCTACCTGTTTCAAAAAGTCAGAACGTGTTTCCTTGAATTCAGCCATCATTATTATTATTATTATTATTGCCATTTTCTCTACTAATA